TGCATAATGCTGATCCTAAAATAATCCAATTAGCCAGGACTTAAATGCACATGCTGCTGCAACGACGAAATGATTCCAATTAGTATTACAAAACGCTAATTGCATTTTACAAAACATTTGAATTGAATTTCTAATTGCCAATTGCTGCGGCACAATGATTTTGCACATAAATGAATAATTCTAAATGGATTCTGAAACGCCAAGAGTGGAAAAACAGACGAATGGAAATTTTGTAAACGTTGGCAGCCAAATCTGTTACCACTGATGACCATTCAAAACAAATTCGCTAAAAATTCAATTCAACGAAATCAATATGCAGTTGAAGGCTTCACAAATTTAGATTTATTTTTGATTCCTGACGATATGAATGGAATTTAAGGAAAAATGTGGAATTTATAATGCCAAATAGTTATGATTACGATGCCGAATTTAAACGTTTGATCCGCTTTGATGAACTGCCCAACGGCATTAAAACCAATAAACATTGGCAGAGGTTCTATCTACCTGCATTGCCATTTAAGATCATAAACGGCTATCAGTTTACAGTGCTTTTAAAATATCAGAACTTGCTTTAGAGACTCTATAAAAGATGCAGAACAACAGAAATTGATGACTGCGTGATACTCTTCAGGATGTTTTGTATAATGGTTTTAAATATAATTTCTTCCCAAAAAAGAGCTATGCATTAGTTGAGATTACAAATAAAAATTATTTTTTTAGAGTTTTATAATATTTATTTTGTGTATGTTTATTATTTTAAAATATAAGGATTGTTTTGAAGTGAATCTTGGATATTTTTTTGATTATTTAAAATAGACACAAAAACAAAATCTTCCCTACAAGCACCTTACCCTAACCAAATTATAAGTTGCCAAGACAAAAACCAAACCTGTTTCTCCCAAGAGAAAAAAAGGCAGAACGACGAAGCAAGCTGGGCTATCAAAAATCTTTTATCACAAAGAAAAGCTAAACCAGTCAACGGGTTTTATTTTGGTCTTTTGTTGTTGGCTAATTTGTCCAGCGGTTTCGATATTCAAGACGTTGCATCCTTTTAGGTATTTTTTTGTGGATGGAAAGAGATCTGATATCTGAGCATCTGATTTGCAGCAGGCTGACCATTTTTTGATCTTTTGCGCACGAATTAACTTCAAACAGGCGTGAATAATGCCCTGCTGATCTTTTGTCTTTTTCTTTTCGGGAATCTGGAAACTCATTTGCCCCACAGAGGCCACATTAAAGTGCCGCCTGACACACATCCCCCTGAGTTCTGCCCTTCGACAAGCTTTATGACATGTGCGGTTTGAGTTATGACCGGATTTTTTTGCTTTTTTGCGGCATGTGCGGTGCTTGAATTTCTTTATACCCCTCCTTTTCCGCACATATTTCAGATGGCTGATAGTTTAATTGGTCTGGACTTTATGTGCTCTGCGGTTTTTGTTTGCCTTCGTCTTATTTCTTGACTGCTTTTGTGTTTTTTTTCTCCAGTAGCTACTGGTCTTTGACTCGAGCGTAATGAAGACGTCACATGGCAGGCATATTAATGCTAATTGATTATGCCAAAGTTCCTCAAATAGTTAAGACGGCTCGGAAACTTATCTTGATCGTGCAGCCAAAACAATTAAGGGAATACTCAAGCGGTTTATTGGGGTTTGACACACAGACTGCTGGAAATTAAAAGGAAAACCCACGCAAAGCGCTAGTCACACCATTTGAAACAAAAAATTTTGTACACTGCAGTATTATATCACATAATAAATCGTTTACACAATCACAAGCAAAGACTTAAAGGTAATTGAGACATTTAAGTCGCAGCAGGGCCCCAATTTCCCCAATAAGATTTAAAGTTTCTTGTAGCTTTATAAATCTTGCGGTGCCCTTTAGGAATGTTCATTGACAAATCTGATAAAATATTCTACGAAATTTCCTATAAAAATCTGTACACATCCATAAATCCCACACTCAATTAAATTGATTAACGCTGCCATAAAAAGACGACAATAAAATGCAGGCAACAAACAAATCTTTGCTAATAAAACGCATAAACAAAAACCAAAAATGTATTCATGGAGTAAACTTTTTATGTCCCTAAAGCTGAAGCCAAAGTTTGGCACGATCTAGCCGGTAACGACAAGTGTTTTGCAGTTTTAATAGAGACATAAAAACGGTTATAAATACAGGAATTTCATATACTGTACAATGCCCTGTAATTTGGTAAATAAACCAAGCCCACAAAAAAGTTGAACAAAACGCATAGATATGTGAAAAAGGCACCATAAAAACTAAAAACAAAACATTTTCATTGTGGATTGCGGGCAATGGTATAAATTTCGGAATACAATCGGCCAGACAACACCAACAAACTCATAAATAGTTTTCATTTCATTAGCTACGTTTTGTGAATTGGTCAGAAATTGAGGCAACCACTGCAACAACTATGAAAGTTGAATATGCAACCGTACTGAAATAATAAACATTGGTTTTGTTTATTCAATCAGGTAAACCAAAGAGTCGAAGAAGAATACATAAACAAAAACACACACCTGTAATTGAACTTTGGACCGCATTCGAATATAGTGTAAACAATTATAGATCGGACGTCACAACAATCACAAAAGCCTCTAACCACAATTTATTTACAACTCAAACAACTTGAGCCACTTGAACAGCGGCATTTAATTAATGACTTTTTATAAAGACTGAATAAATATTCAGCGGTTTAAAATTTGCATAAATGGAAATAAATAAAACCAAATTAGAAATAAAAAAATACAATATCAAAACCTTAGCTAGTGGTAAAAAAAAAACTGAAGAATTAAATATTCGGAGTAAAAGTCAACGATTTTGTTTATGTTTAAGTGTCCGATTGTGTTTACACATTTGTAGCTACCTTAGGCCAGGTTAAGGAATTAGAAAAATTTGAGTGGTAGATAAAACACTTTTATTAGCATTTTTAAGTGCTAAAGACGATCGAATTACGAGCTGTCCGTTAAAGTTGTGTTAAATAACAACAGGTTGAGGGGCAATAAAATAAAATAAAAAAAAGGTTTTACATCATTAGGTGTTTTGGAGATTACAGAGAATTTTATAAATTAAGAAATTTATAAGATGTACTTTTCCAGCGTCATATTTGAGTCAATATTTTATTAAAATAAAAAGACTTTTACATTGTCTTAAGTAATCAAAAGTCATGAAAAGGGCCCCATCTTACAGTAGTAACATTACTGACTTAATGATTTGAAAAAGGCCAGTAATGGCAGCTGAATTTCCCTGAGGCAGGACATTTAAAAATAGATTGTAATTAATCAAACTAAGTACCAAGAGTTCAAGTATTCCGGTAGTAAAATACTCCCACATCAACTCCGCGATAAGCAGAGACCGAGTAATTTATGTTCAACTTGGCCCATTAAGAATACAAATCTGAGTACTAACGAAATGGGACGACCCCGCATCCGAAATAATAGAATAATCTGTCTGTTTTCCATTGGACACGCAACGCATGAGTCTCATTTTCATGTTTGGCTTTCGCCACACTATTCATTTAAGCATGTTTTTCTGTTATGGCGCGTACAACTAATTAAGCTATTTTTAAAGAAGGCGAATTTTCCAACGCACGCACAGGGCACCGGCAGAGGGGCGTGGCCACGCCCTGCTCGTCGCTATGTCTGGCAAGATCGCGTGAGGAGAATATAGGAGAGGCAGCTGCGCTCAATTAATGTCATTTTGCTAGCTATTTCAATTTGAAAAATATTTCATTAATACTGGAATACTGCCTTCCGAATTGCCAAAACAAAAAACAGAAATCTTAATTAGTGTATAGATATCACAATAGACATAGGAAAATATATCTATATCATATAAAAACAGACATATGACATTGAACTCATTCAAAAAGTCTCGCCCACTCGGGTTTTTTTTATTTTTGGAGAGGCAGCGAATTTATTTCGTGTTTAATTAAAGATCGACAAAATGAAATTGAAACATATTTCAACAGCCATATATATAGAACTCATCAGATATTAAATTTTTCGGTTTGAATTTGGAAATTTTCGACCTCCTTTAACGAATTTATCGAGGCTAATATTAGCGATGACTGGCACGAGCTGGATTAATTGTTAAATCTACATATCCGCAGCTATGTATATCCACACCGCACTATGCCAAAGTTGAGATAATACTGTCTGGCTTGAGTTTATGACTCCCCAGGGAGGAATTTAATGCGCTGTTTTGCCTCCATTGTCAGCCCTCGGCTTCGTTTTTATGGCCGACGAATGCACTTTACACCTCGACCATTAAATAATTCATTAAAAGAGGGAAAGACGCCTTATTAGTCCCAGAAATTAGACAAATTTCAATCAAGCGCGTACGTCAATGATTTATGAGCTCGACTAAAATATAAATAGTGACCTAAATAGAACAATAATTCTGTAAATTTAACTTTTTATATTAGAGGAATTTTAATGTCAGAGGATTATGAAGATTATACAGTGTAATCAAAAGAAGACGAAATAATTCTGTGTTACAAAATTGTTTTACCAATCGTAAACGAAAATCTCATTCAAGGCGAATTTCTTTAACACCTTTCGCGTAAACAATTTCAGAAATCCGAAGGCGCCATCCGAAAGGTTGTATACAAAACATTTTATTTGGTCTAATTAAAGCTCACAAAAATAGATAAACTGTGAGAAAGATTCCTGTATTATAAAGCTGCCTATAATCCTCTGGGAAACATTCCGACGCATATTTGTAGTGCGAATATATGCGAACCCCAAGCTAACAAATTTATTGATGCGCCGTAGAAAAACCAGTTTGGTCACAAACAAAAATGAATGGTAATTTAAATAAAAAACACAAAACGACAAATATAAATTATGAAATTCAGCATTTTTGCCAATGGGTGCCTAATTTGCATTGGCGCCAAGGAGGAGAAAATAAAAAAGAAACGAGGGAAAAGTAATTTATGGTCAACGCAATGAGAATTAATTAATGGCTGTGGGGCTTACCTGATCTTGACAAAAGTATCCGAATCCGATAATGCCGGCGATGGCCAGAAATAGACAAAATACAATGATTGTTCGTATTTTGGAGCGCGGTTCCATTTTCTTGATTTCATAAACTCCACTGGGTAGCAATAAGGCAAAATCACTATCGACTTGAACTGATACGTTCTTATGCATATCCACGGGCATGTTCCATTACCTGGCCTCCACCCAATCGCACTAGACCATCAAAGGTCCACCTGAACCCACAACCAGCCGCGAATCGGAGGCGAGGCCAACTCAATCATACTTCAGTCGTTGCCCGATAAGAATTCTGAAAATGGGAACACCTTCGCCCATCGTAGTCAGTGCGGAAGTGGGTTTTGTTGTGCCTTGTTTTCCAGTAGCTGCAAGTAGAGCGAGAGGACAATGGTTAATTATGTTTTTTTGAAGCACATCAATTTTAGTTACCACTTGACCGGCAGATAAGAGGGGTCGGTCAAATTGTCTAGCTATTATTAAATAGTAAGAAAAAAACATAAATATTTTAATAGAATTTACTTATAGGCCTGACTGATAACAAGTTCATAATATATTTTAGTCTGAGTACGATTATAGTTTTTTTGATTAGACAGAAATAAAACAAGTTTTAGTATAGTGTAAACAAGTGAAATTTCTTCTTGTGCAACAAAATAATATCTTTATTTGTGTGGGAAATCTTGAAATTTGCACAAGCAATCTGCAAAATATATAGCATTGAGACAAATCACATAAATCAGAAATGGAAGAGTAGGATATAAAAGTGGGAAGGTGAATATAACGAATTTTGTAAGCCCTAAGCTAAAAATATAATGTTGTCTTTATTTATTATGAATAACATCTGCTGAGTACTTACGATTTCGATTCAAAGAATTTTTAAAATAAAATTAAAGTAAATTATGAATGGAAAAAAGAAAGAAGATTTAGAAAGAGTTCTAAATCATTTTTGAATTCGGGATAGATAAGTTTCACTGCGTCAAAAGTTGATAAGAAATTTTGTCATTAGGTTCGTTACAGTAAATACCCATTATTTTATTGATTCTCTAAGATAACAAATTGGTTTGTTGTCTTATCATATATGTAGATATCCTAGTATTATTGTTACAATCAAATCATACATATCATATCAATTGATAAATTCTATTAACGGGATTCGAGGTGTTGAAATAAAAATTCTATGCATTTTACGGAACTAAGCCTAAACAAGACGGTATTTGGGATAGCAACTACAGAATAGGCTTTACCAAATTTAATGTTATGAACATCCAATTTTATATGGATTGTTCAAAATTCCTGGAAATATAATCTTTCTATCAGCAACAAAAAATAGTACAAAAATCGCAGGTGGGTATGAACATATGCAAGTGTTAGCACCTGAAGTCTGATAGCCAAGATCCCCGTTTCGTCAGGAAGTGTATTTAAATTGTAGAAACACGCAACTGGCGGGCAATCGGTAGTCAGTGTGACGCCCAAACCGCTGTTGCTGCTGTTTTTAGTGTAGGCGCTTTAATTTTGCGATCGTTGCTTTTGCCAAGATCGCAATTGTTGTAAACAAATGGCAAAAGTTGCTTATTGGCAACATGACAAAAAGACGGGGGGACAAGAAAAAGAAAACTCAGATGTGGCGAAACATGTTGCCAGGCAACAATAACAAACGTTGTGAGCACATGGCCATTAAATTCACTTCTGTGTACTCTAAACTACACTTAAAACATTGGTAATTGCCTAACTAAATTATTGGTTAACGCCTCGCAGTGACGTCAGTGCAAAGAGCATAATTATAATAATAGAACCAAACGATTTAGCAACATTGCAATACAAAAACACAATCAAAGAGGAACAACAAAAACAGAGAGAGGGCAAGCAAAAGAGAGAGGGAGAGTTCCCAACCAGACAGAGCGAGATGCAACACAACAGCTGTTCTGATGGCCAAAAAGCAAATTGGCAAATTTTAACAAATTTACCCAGATTTCACTCACTATTCACAAGCCAACTGGCGTGTTTGTTGACTCTTCACAATTATAACGTCGTCACACGTTTATTTATTTACATTTATCTGCGTTTTAGGCGCTCGCACGTTCGTTTTGGGCCTCCGCTTTGTGCCACACATTCTGCGACGGCCACATAAAAAGCCCGCAATTTGCACTTGCGTCTGTTTCAAACACTCTTAAAGATTGCTTTCCATGCTTTTTGCACGGTTCACTAGCTATAGTTTGGCACTATGTCACTTTGTTAGCGTTTTGCGTGTGTTTTTTACGAATTTATTGGGCGAAACAACGCGGAGCCAGCAGCCAACGTCCGTTTTCATCAAAATCGGCGAATAAACTGAACAAAACGGAACTGCACAAGTTGGGTCTCAGAAACAGCTGACGGTGTTGCCAGACAAATCGGGAGAATAAACGGAACAAAATGGAACTGCGCTTGTAGTGCTGCCATCAGCTGATAGGGCTGCCAGACGGATGCAGGTGTTCACGACTCGACAATATGGCAGCGCTCTTAAATTTTGAATATGAGTTAAAATAATACAATTATTCAAAGCCTTTTCAACCCAAAATATATTCTTCAGTAAACAATATTTTTTCCCAAAAAACTTTCTTAAAATCTGCTTCTACCGGTAGTATATGACAGCAAAAATAAATTTAATTTTAATAATAAAAACTCCGCAAGAGTTAATAAGATTTAAAGTTAATAAAAGTATAATGCATTTTAATCAAATTCAAAGTTAAGATGATTCTCCTCAAAATATTTAATTGAAACATGGATTTCTAAACCAAATAATTTTATAACATTTTAAAAGCTCATAAATAACACATATAATAATTTTTGAAAACCAGTTTTCAGTTTTAAGCAAAATAGGCAACCCTATGCACTGTTTATCGTATGACCATCGATAGTCAGAAGTCGATATCCATAACAAACTGCAGGAGAAGAAGAAGAGCGGTGAAAAACGGACAAAATAGCTTGCAGTATTTGCAACAAGTTCTCGCATTTAAAGCCAACTCCCACTCTCCAGGTTAACTATGGAGGTGGATCAGATGCCGCTGGCCGACGTGGTCTTCATCATCGAGGGCAGCGCCATCAACGGCGCGTACATCAACGAGCTGAAGACCAACTACATTCTGCCGACGCTTGAGCACTTCACCACTGGCTCCATTGACGAGCGGGAGTACCTCATCGCAGAACGTTTCGCCACGCTGTACGGTATCGTTGTTTACCGCACCGCGGCCAATCTGCTGGAGCCCGTGTGCACCACCTACGGACCCTTCCTGCAGCCCCAGAAAGTTATGGAGACCATCGAACGCCTGCCGCTGGTTGGAGGCGGAATGGAGTCCTGTGCGCACATGGCAGAAGGATTTGCCGCGGCCCACGGTTGCTTCGACGACATTAGCGAACGGCGGCAGCTGCTCGACCAGACCAACGTCCAGCGGCACTGCATCCTCATCTGCAACAGTCCGCCGTACCAGATGCCCACCACGGAATCGTGGAAGTATCCGGGCAAGTCCTGCGAACAGCTGGCGGCGCTCTTTAATGAGCGGAAGATCAATCTCTCCATCATTGCGCCTCGCAAGATGCCTGTGCTTTTCAAGCTGTTCATGAAGGCCGACGGAGATCAGCCCATTACCAGCAAGAACTATGCCAAGAACATCCGGCACCTGGTGCTGCTCAAGGGATACAGCCTCAAGGAGCGAGCTCCCAGCCCCAACAGCATGGCGGCCCAAATGGCTGCTCCTAACGCAGGTCAGGCTGCAGTGCAGCAACAACAACAAAATCCAGCGGCTCAGCAGCAACCTGGCCAGGGCATGCCCATGGACACCACCCCCGCCCAACAACAGCAGCAGGTACAACAACAGCAACAACAGCAGCAGCAGGGCAATCCCCAAGTCATGAACATGAATTCGATGCAGCAACAGCAGCCCGTTCCCAATCCGCAGGCGAACCTTCTCAATTCCCAGCAGCAACAGCTCTTGCAGCAACAGCAACAACAGCAGCAGCAAAATCAATTTGTGCCTAACCAGATGCAGAATCCAAACTTTCAGCAAAACGTGGTGGCTGGCCAAAACCGTTGGATGTATCAAAATCAGCCGGGACAGGCCCGCCCGACCTTCATGCAAGGAGCAGGCAATGTGGGTGGTGTCGGCCAAGGCGGTGGCATGCAACCGAATCCCAACTCTGCGCTGATCTCGCGCATTAATGGGCCGCCGCCGAACCAAACCGTGACTTCGCTGCAGCAACAGCAACAACAGCAGGCCCAGCAGCAACAGGCCCAACAGCAACAACAACAGAGGATGCAGTTGCTCAACCAGCAGCAGATGCTCAACCACCAGCAGTTGCAACAGCAACAACAGCTGGCCCAACAGCAGCAACAGCAACAGGGTAATCCCAATGCCGGCAACAACATGATGCCGACGGGCAATGCGGGCAACATGCCCAATCCACAACAGCAACAAGTGGGACAACAGTCGAATCCCCAACAGCAGGGCAATCCGCAGCAGCAACAGCAGGCGAATTCGCAGCAGGAGCAGGCCTCCCTGAGGGAAAAGATCTGGACCGGAGTGCTGGAGTGGTCAGAGAAACCGAAATCGGATCAGCAGAAAATTCCGCACACGCTTCAGTGCACCGTGTGCACCAACATAAAAGACGGCGAGCCCGAGATCAAGGCTGAGAACTGGCCGCCGAAGCTGTTGATGCAGCTAATGCCCAAGCATTTGGTGGGCAACATCGGTGGGCAGTTCCTGAAGGATTCAAAGATGGTTGTTTTTCGACCGACCCCTGGAGAAGCACTCGATTCGCTGGCCAAGATGATGACTTCGGGATATGCTGGCTGCGTCCACTTCTCCTCCATCCCCAACGCGCCCGCCTGCGATCTCAAGGTCCTCATCCTGCTGTACACTCCCGATCGCAACGCCTTCCTCGGCTTCATTCCCAACAATCAAGCCATGTTCGTGGAGCGTCTGCGAAAAGTAATACAGCAGAAGCAACATGGCAACATGCAGCAACAGCAACAAATGATGCAGCAGCAGGGGAAGTCGCCCATGGAACTACAGCAGCAACAGCAACAACAGCAGCAGCAGATGCAGCAGGACAACTCGCAGCAACAGCACTACAACCAGTACCAGCTCAATATGCAGATGGGTGGAGGAGGTCCAGGCGGAGGACCGGGCCCTGGGCCTGGCGGCATGCCCATGCAGCAGAACCAGATGCAGATGAACATGATGCAGCAGCAGCGGATGCCGCTCGGCGTTGGCGTTGGTCCCGGTGGCGTGCCCAATCCTAACCTCCAGCAGCAATTGCAGCAAGTGGCGCCCAACGTGGCTGCCATGCAGCAGCAGCAAGCGCAACAACAGCAACAGCGCATGGTTCGGCCCATGATGAGCAACAACAACCCCGGACTTCGCCAGCTTCTGCAGCACCAGACCACGCCGGGCAACCAGTTCCGCCCGCAGATGGGCGGCCAGAATCCTAATCAAATGGGAGCAGGCGGTCCAATGGTCGGCAATCGCAACTTTGACGACGGAAGCTACGAGTTTAATATGTAGGCTCCTTGAAAAGGTCGCGTTGCAGACTAGAATTAAGTTTATATACAGTCCAACTATATGACATCCCTAACTCGAAGTCCCAGAATACTATAGAGGTTTTCACGTCGGTTAGTTATTTTAATGTATCTTTTTACCTCTTCCCAATTCCCCATAAACATAAAAACGCAATTATTTTTGTCACTTTCATCGTATTTCGTTAATTTTATTAGTTAAAATCAAGGTTGAAGGACATCGTAACGTAAGACTAATATTAATCACAGAACACAAGACCCGAAGGAAGTCAACTAGTTAGCTCCACCGCCGCCGCCTGAAGATGCGGTACTTGCATTTCCAGCGCTAGCGGCAAAAAGCTTCCGTAGATTCTGCAAAATTCCAAAGAGTACCGTGCCCGCAGTGCCCAATGTCTCGAGGACATCGAATCCAGTGCTGTCTATGGCCGTCTCCCGATCCTCCTCAGTCTCGATTGCCGGCGAGCTGATGTTCCCGCCATTATGGTGCGTTTCGTGGACGCCATGGTGACCGATTAGCCGATGGGTGTTGCTCTTGACATGCGAATCGTTTACTCCGCCGCCGCCCACTGCATTGATCAAGTGCTTGACCGGCTCCAGGACCGGAATATTAAGCTTGACCCGATGCCAGGCATCCGATGATTCGGTAAAGCCCTCATGCTGCTCCCCAGTGGCCTCCATCTCATCGTCCAGCATGTTGCGTTCACTGACCGGCTCGTCATCCGTCTCCAAAGACAACTGCAGACTCATATTTCCCTTACCCGGCAATTGCAACAAACTGCCGAAGAGCACCTGCAAGTGCGCCGAGTTGACTGCCTCCGCCTCATTTCGCTCGAAGTCAAACTCCTCACGGGCGCCGGATTTCGGCTTCTGGTCAACAAAGCTGGTAACATGTTGCATTTCATTTGGCGGCCTTGATTCAGTGGAGTTGGCTGGCTTGGCGGACGTCGTCGTCAACAACAGCAGCCACAGAAACTGCAGATGTATACGGGAGAAATGGAATCTTTAATTGGTGCTTAATGACCGGCTACACGTACGTAAATGAATATTAAATACGATCGATAATGAGGCTTTCTATATTCAAATCCCAACGCACACGCGTCGCTGGACCTTGAAATCGTTCTATAAGATATGACAATACTGCAAATCACAGATGAAATATTTGGACCTATGACACATGCCTGTGTGTATTGTTTGGCCTTACAAAATAAGTCTCAAAAGGGGAAGATCAAAAATTTGTTGTAATTTTAAAACTATTTTTTAATAATAATTTAGTTAAATTATAACGAATTTTATTTAAAAGTTTAAATCTTTCACTAATTTTAAGGCTAGCCATTCTTGCACAAATCAAAAAAACTGTAAAAATCTGGATAAGTTTAAGCCATTGAAAAATTTGGCATTAATGACTATCAGCTTAATTTATATCTGCCTTCAATAAAAAAACATATTTATAAAACCACTGATGGAGGTTGCAAAGTTTGAAACATGATCAAATTGTTTTAATTTTTGTAAGGAAAAACAATCAATACTAATTAGCTTTCGAATATTGAAAAGGGTTGGTGTCCCCTTAAATACAAATTAAGATTTCTTCCCCACAGATATTGCAAATGAGAAGATTAGCCCTAATATTCTAAGCTTGACCTACACCGAATCCAATTAGTTTATGAGTCACTATTTGTTTCTAAGAAAAAACCCACATTATGAATTAAGCCAACATCAAGTTCCCTTTTAATCAACAATGCCAATTTTATGCTGCTTACATTTAAAAAGACAATAAAACATATGGAACTATATGTGGAACTGGCCAATCGCAACATTGTCAATGAAATATACGGATCTAGCTCTTGGCTAGACAACGAAACTGAAACCGAACTTAACACCGAAACCACTGCCAGCAAACGCAAAAACCGAACTAAACTCGAACAATTGACCAACAAATACTTGGGGGTGACCAGAGCCCAGCTGAAGGCAGTCGCCCGGTCAGCAATCAATTAATATGCAGCAACGGTAGGGGCAATTGTGGTACCTAAATTTAATTCAAAATGCATTTAGAGGCCCCCGAAAAAAATCGGTTCTCTGGGTTTCGGCCGGTATGAAATATGAAAACACAACTCTAGCAAATATTGGACATATACTTTTTATCAAGGATTTTCGGATCAGTAGGCAGTAGACTTAAGTTCATACTATTATTTGACTTATTGATTCAGTCTCCAGACACAGCCCAAGCTGGCACAAACCTTTTTAAACCTTTAAAAAAAAATTCGACCAAAATTCAAAATTTCCAAATTGTTTTAGACCAATTAAGACCACGGTTAATTTTAGAATGCGCTTGTTTGGTAGAATAACACACTTTTTACAGGTGAGTTATCAAATGGTTTAATAAATTATATAGGGCTTAAGAGGGTTTCCAAATCTAGATGGGGTGTATTAAAAACGACGGATTAGTAGGCTTCCAATTTTTAAGTTAAGTTGTCACTGGTTTCTAGTTTTAGTTTCCTCTACGTCTTACAACTTCACACACACTTTCGGTTTCTCCCTTCTTTTAAAGTGAAATTCTACCGTGATTAACTTATGTATTCTTGATAAAGTAATAAAAATTCACAAAGAGCTAAAATGCCAGGGATATTCGGGAGCCCCCCGTCTAACCGTTTTGGAATGCATCTCTTGCAGATATCGAGATGTCTCAGCTACCATACTCCGCTCTTCCGTCCCCGCAGCCTGCTCCATTCCGAGCGGCTGAGGCTGCTGGGCAGTAGTGCCACCTACGGATCCAAGGCGACGCGGGAGGCCACTACCCCGGCGCTCGGTTCTCATCCGGGTCGCCCCCGGGTGCAGAAGTATTCGCAGAACGGCAACAGTGTCTTCTCGATCAACGATAATGTGGATATGCTGCGCAAGCGGATCAGCTTCTCCGGCACATCGGGAAATGCACCCAAGATCCTGCCCATCGGCCTGATTACACCGGAAACTGGCGATGGCAAGGACCTAAAGATCGTCATTGTGCCTCTGGACCTGTCCGGCATGGATGCCAATGCATTGAAGGATACGTTGGATAGCATCAACCAGCTGCGGCTGTACGCCAACCACATCGAGGCCTTCTCCAGCAGCATGGTCGAGGAATACGGTGCGTTAAACGAGGCCGTCCAGGAGGTGGTATCGGAGGAGCAATCGGAGGCGAATGCGAATGATCGCAAGTTCTGGGAAACCTACCCATCCTCGCCGGCAGCCGACGTGGATGCCGTGGGAACCACTGTGGATGCGGGTCTGGGTGCCAACATGCCCATGCATCGCCAGGCAGTGGTTAGTAGCTGCCTTCAAAATGCTATGGGACTTCCAGGAGCTGCCAATTCTTCGCTAAAGACCACCAAGTCCATGTCGGCGCTGGCCCAAGCCAAGCCCGTCACAAAATCCAGTCTGGGAGCTAATCTCGCCGACTTCGCCGTCCAGGAGGGGGACTTCGTGGAAGAGGTGCGAGTGGATGTGCCGCAGGATCTGAGCAATCGACTCAACGAGATGGCCGTGTCCTCCATGGAGCTGTCATTTGAGATGGACATGACCAATCTGAGCAATGCTCTTGAAAGCAAGGGCTTAAATGATGCAATCCCGCAGGACCCCATGATCTGTATGCACACCAAGGTGGAAATAGACGCATCCGGAACGGCAGAGGAAACCATTCCGCTCAGGTTTAACGCCTTGATCTCTGGTGTCGTCCAGATTGATACTCAGAAGTTGAATTCAGCCCAGCTGACTGATGACAAGATGCCCGGCTTCAATGACGACCTCACCGCGTTGGCTGCCAACCTTTGCAGCACCGCCTTGGAAAAGGGTTTCTCGGGGAACTCAAAAACCTCGGACACCTACATTGCCGATCTGGAACTTACCAAGGATGAGCAGGCCTTTGCGACCAGGATCATTGATACGTCCTATATGTCTGCGTCCACTCAAATAGGACATCAGCGGGAGGCTCAGCAGAAGATCGCTGAAGAAGCGGCCGCTGAACCTGGTATCCAGGAGGTTGAGGTGCCAGTTCCTGTGGATAAGGATGGTTGCAAGTATCCTCCCGTGAAGCCCAAGAAAAAGTGTCCAGGAAAATGCCCTCTGATTACTGATCCCTGCAAGGCTGATCCCTGCGAGAAACCGGAAAAGAAAAAGGCACCCAAGAAAAAGGCAGAAAGTACCACGGAGATAACATCCATGGCCAAGGGAGGCGACAAGAAGGATCCTTGCTCGAAGGACGGAAAAGGCAAGGACAAGAAGAAAGACCCGTGTGCCAAGTTCAAAAAGGGTGGTAAGGATGGTTGTGATAAGGAGAAAAAGAAGGATCCCTGCCCCAAAAAGAAGGAAGATCCTTGTGCGAAAAAGAAGGAAGATCCTTGTGCGAAAAAGAAGGATCCTTGTCCTAAGAAGGAAGATCCTTGTGCGAAAAAGAAGGAAGATCCTTGTGCTAAAAAGAAGGAAGATCCGTGTGCTAAAAAGAAGGATCCTTGTGCTAAAAAGAAGGAAGATCCTTGTGCCAAAAAGAAGAAAGATCCTTGTGCTAAAAAAGATGATAAGAAAAAGAAGGATCCATGTGCCAAATTCAAGTCTGGGGAGAAAAAAGATCCCTGTGCCAAAAAAGACGATAAAAAGAAGGATCCTTGCGCCAAAAAGGATCCCTGTGCCAAGAAGGACGAAAAGAAAAAGGATCCCTGTCCCAAGAAAAAGGATCCATGTGCCAAAAAAGATGACAAGAAAAAGAAGGATCCTTGCGCTAAAAAGAAAGACCCTTGCGCTAAGAAAGATAAGAAGAAGGATCCCTGTGCCAAGGGCGGAAAGGATGACAAGAAAAAGAAGGATCCCTGCGCCAAGTTCAAGAAGGGCGGTAAGGATGGCAAGGACAAGTGCAAGTTCTCAACCTTTTCTAGGCGTTCGGATTCGAGCAAACGCTACCTGTCCACTGCTCTGAACCAGGCCTTCCGGGAATCCGAACACGTTTCTGGAGGTCCTCGCTTCCACGTCTATTCCACTCTCGTGCGCCGTCACTATCGTGTCCCTGTTCCCAAGACACCCGAAATCTGCCAGTGTTCATTGTGCCAGGGCCGCCGGCTCCACAAGGCATCTGCTCCGGCTAAATTCACGATCAACACAACTCTCCTGCGACGACGCTTTGGTGGACTGACAAAGAAGATCTCGCCCGGAGGCCTGAGCAATGCCAACAGGCGGGGAATACGCCAAAAAGGAGAAGAGAGGCGGCAAGTGCGGCCAGATGGCGCCCAAGTACCCCAAGAGCCGTGGCAAGGACATAAAGGAACGGACTGGTCTCCGCGAGGATTGTTTCAGCGATGAAGACGGCGGTTGTGGAGTAAAGAGCTGCACCGGCAAGTGCGCCAAGGTCAAGTTCCCCAAAAAGAAGTGCGAACGCAAGGACGAAAAGAAGGATGGTGCGTAGTTATGCGATTTCTCTGGGTCTCAGTTTCCCCAGGTTGGTCTTCTCTTCCCAAGGTAGACTAGGCACTCTCTTCGCCCGGAATGCTTTTGTCCAGCTGCAGAATCAGCAGAGATCATTCAGCACTCGGGTCTGTTGCCATCCATCGCCCTCGCCAAAGTCGGAAGATAAGCGCATCCTGGATGAACAGGCATATGCTCTGCAAATTTTAAAGTCCTACGAGATTCAAATGGTTCCCGTTAACAGACCCACTCCCAAGGATTTTGGTGAGATTGCATTTTTAGAGCCAGTGATAAAAGCTTTTACAATTTTGATTTTAAAGATAATCGCTAACAATTTACCATTTAAAACCAGATGTACTTATTCGAACGGGTTCAGTGGCCATCTCGAACTCTGACATCCATGTCTATGAGAACGGCAACCGCGACGTGGAGGTCATGTCCTTGGGTCACGATGCCACGGGAATCGTGGAGGAAGTCGGTCGCTGCGTCCACCATCTGCATGTGGGTGACCGCGTCGTCATGGAGTCTGCGTTGTCCTGCGGCATTTGCGAGTTGTGCAAACAGGGATTGTACAACATGTGCTCTGGTTTGGTATACAACGGCTTTCTAAGCACTTTCCAAACTCATCCGGCGGATCTTTGCCACCGTCTTCCCCCTTCCATTAGCATGGAGGAGGGTTCGCTGACCCAAACATTGGCCCTGGGATGTCAGGCATGCTTCAAGGGCAATATCACGCCCACCAGCAATGTCCTAATCCTGGGATCTTGCCCAACAGCGGTGGCGGCGGGCATATGCGCCAAGGCTATAGGGGCCAAGCGCGTGGCCATTGCCGGCTGTATGGCTCCCGCTCTGGATGTCGTCGCCCGGGACTTTGGATTCCAGGCCGTCGAGTTCGACAGCAACGCCCTGTTTGGAGAGGTCCTCGAGGCCATATACAGCAAGTTCCAGGACTGGCCCAGCTGCGTCATTAACTGTTCCATATCGGCCATGACAATGAATCTGGCGGTTATGGCGTTGCAGCCATGTGGAGTGTGTGTGCTCGCGGAATGCGATTCAGAGTGTGCCAGCTTTAATGCCCTAGACGTACTGATGAAGAACATCCGCTTGGTGCCCAGCTTTCGGTCCGCCAATATGTGGGTTAAAACCAGTAGCTTTAAATTTGCCCATTTAAACCCGTCTTCTATAGGTATCCCACCGCCCTGCAACTCATGCGATCTGGTCGAGCACTAATGCACAACTTCATCACGTCCACATATCCCCTGAGCAGGGCGGACGAGGCCTTCCGAACTGCCCAGCACGAGTCCAACATTGGGCTGGGGAAGATCATTGTTAACTGTGCGGAAGAAGTGGATATCGAGGAGAAGCAAGGAAGAAATTCCAAATCGACATCGTAAAAAATTTTGGTAGTAATAGCTGTGTAGAAGACCGCATCAAAGAATTCTATTATACTTAATTAATTCTGTGTTTTGATATTAAAATTGGGAATTAAAATAAAACAATAAATTTTAAGTATTGCAACAAAAATCGCTTCGCATTTTACTAAGTTCTGCGTGGGCCCATAAAACAATTGGTTTGAAAGTGCGCTCTTTAAATGAATATTCTTTAACAGCATTCTATGATCTATATCTATCCTCTGACCTCTCATTAGATTTGTTTATGTGTATACATATACATATTTATGTAAATATATTATAAAATTATTATTGTACTTCGCTGCTTACAACAAACTATTTTACAATTTTACAAGAACGAAAGTGACTTGCTAAAGGAGGGAATAAATGTACACGAAACAAAAATGAAAACATAATCTAAGTACAATTATAATAACGCATACATTTTTAATTTTTAAGCATTTGACTACATCGCACACTTTGGAACATTGCTTGGACTGAGTATAAATAATAATTAGAGCTAACTAATAAGATTTAAAGATATGCCATTTTGTATGTGAGTGTGGAACTAATTAATGGACTGTTTTGTGGTTTCGGTTGCCTATGGTACTGCCGCTTTGCTGGTTCTTTGTTCCCTGGTTGGTTTGGATATAGCTTTCCAATTACTATCGATCGTTTGGCCAATAGTAGTTACATACATATATACTAGTAGAATCGTCAGAGTCTAAAATAAAAACCACTCGCTCTGCACCCTGGAGCATCAGATCGTAAAGGTAGTTTGTCTTTTGGTGTTCAATCGTATCCGTTCCCTTGCTAGTTGTCATGTATCTGCATTTCTAGTTCCACATCCGATAAATTTATCTGTCGCATCGAGTTGATAAACATGTAGCGCGAAGTGTATATGTAGAGCCAGCGAAACCATCTCATCTGCGACTGATGCTCCTTCATCGCGCTCCTTACAATCGCAGCCTCTTTCCAGTTTAGAATGCACCTGAATAATAAAACAATCACATTAGAATTTATATAGTATTTGGGACACACTACATACCAATGCGTAGACATAAAGCACGTGCACAGCAGATCGAGGATGGACAGATATTTTCTTACCACATTGATCGAGTCCAAGGTATAGAACTTGCAATCTGCATTGGGAAGATACATAAAAAATTGTTGTATACTATAAATCTAAGGCTATTAATAGCGCCAACTGCAGCGATGGGCACGCCAATTAACATGCACCCATTGTTTGCATCCGTCGCCACCCGCGTGACTCACACGCCTCCTCACCTTTGGGTAAAAGGTTGGCCAAACAGAGCGAGGCGGCCGCGTAGTACACAGCACAATGGTTCGGATGTGAGCTAACGCCATCCCGATCGAACGTGAATATCGCCTGGATGTCGAGGCTTTCCACGGCGTGAAGTATCAGACTGGCCACTGCATCCGGGCGCCAGTCCACATAGGGGTCGTCCGGCAGGTTGGTGGCATTCATCAGGACGATGTTCGACTCGGGAATACCCAGTTTGGAGCAGGAGCGCCACAGTTCCTGACGCCGCACTTTGGCCTTGTGCTCGAAGTTGCCTTTACAGGAAAAATAAAATGATTAATAAAATTCTCTTTGATTAGGAGGATAGGTTTACATTTTAAATTTATCTTTTTTGGATGATAATAATAACATTAAAAAACGTTAGTATTGATTTAAGACAATTTATGTTTAAAATAGCGTTTTCCAAGTGGAATAGAATTTAATTTTTAGAAATTTATCATTTGTCAAATGAATTGCGATATCTATTTATAGTTAATCTGAAAAGTATCGATCTAAAACCGCAATATGTCAAGAATTTTGCTTTTTAAGGATCGTTTTACAAAATCTTTCAAATATTAAATTATTACAAATTAAAAATCTCTCTCAAATAAATCAGTTTTGAAAGAACAAGTACATGTGCTTTATAAGGACTACGAACCAGGGACTTTTAAATTGCTTTTAAACAAATAATTAAAAAAAATTTACGGTTGCAATATAAATATTTGTTTCTTTACTCAAAAATATTTACATTTCGCATGGAAATAAATATACATTATGAGAAATGATTTATTGCTATCCGAGAGGAGAGTTGTTCTTTAAGGAATTGCTTTAGAGGGGATCAGTTGATTCCTATTGAACAAAGCGTCGAATCTTTAACGGTGGTGAAACAACTACCTATCTCTTTACTTCCTAACAATAACTAATAAATACACCTTTTGGAATCAAATTGCAGGTGATCTATTAATGACTACTACAAAATAAGGTTGTACCCATTTGGGCGCAATAAAACTTAATAGGGATTCGCTTCTGATTTCTAAACGTGTACTTTCGCTTAATGCTTCCGGATGTACAATGGTTATAGGATGATGTCACTGTTGGTAAGGTCTCACCGTTGGACAGGCAGAGTATGTACACCTGGCAGCCTTGCCGCTGCGTCAGCGTGTAGATCAGCGGTCCGAAGAACATGCACTCGTCATCCGGATGGGCAGTGATCAGCAGGACGCGCTCCATTTGCGTCGTTTTGGGCAGCCGGACGCTACGCAGCCGTAGTCCGGATTGCATTGCCTGTTTCAGGCCGCCCGCCTCCGGATTTGGATTCTGGTCTCCAGACACGTCGCCGGATCCGGCATTGTTGTTGTCGTTGTGCGACCCGGATCCCGAGAGCCAGAAGGTAAGCTTGTAGAGGCCCAGGCATACTAGCAAGTACACCGCACAGGCGATCAGTACGTGCTCCAGTGCTTCGGCGGATGAGGACCTGATACGGCAGTAGATGGCCTGCGGATTGGGAACGAGCTGCTGCACCTGCTGCTGCAATTGGCGCCACGGAGAGGTCGATGCAATGCTGCTAAATGTGCTGGCCACGTACTCGCTCAGCCAGTTAAATCTCATCTCTCATTGCGTCCGGCCAAGGGCGAGAATTTTGGCGAGAAATTCTTCACCAAAAATGGACATGCAGCGTTTTTTTCGGCAGCGAGGAAAAGCGGAAAAGCGGCGATTACGGTGCTCGGGCGGTTACTTAAACTATGTCACTAAGTGGATGTGTTGCCTAATCGGTAGTTTAATACTTGAAAAAGTCTGGTTACGAGCCCGCGCGCCGCTTAATCGGCTAATCTCTGCATTTTAATCAAAAACTTTACGTGTTTTTGCCTTTCGGGGGCAGCAGCTAGGGATGGGCGACTGGCGCTGTGCGTGGCAGGTGCGTGAGTCACGACGATTTGACGGGTTTTCCGTTCCGCCTTTTTATAGACGTGTCAGGTGCGACGTGCATCTATAATGCTGAAGCTATCAAATTAGCACTCGAATAAATTGATAAACACTTTTCTGTCATTCATCGTACGTTCGAAAGCTGAGAGTCGTGAGTGCAATTTGGTCCACCTCTAGCGGTCAGCTGTTTGGGCTTAGAGCTCAGCAAAAGGGGCATTATGCAAAATCCATATTAAAAACGTGTTATGTATTTTAAAAATATTTAACTTGAAATAATGCAATACTGGAATTTCTAAATTATTGCTATTATTTTTTATTTATAAAATTTATGAATTGTTCAACAAAAAATATGAAAAATATCAATTGCTCGTAATTATTAACTAAAGCCTTCTATAACTAGTAATAATCGATGAAACAAAATCCACATTTTCAAATGGTAATTCTATACAATGATATAAGAAATAAGCTTAAGAAATAAGCTTAAATTAAACTAACTTATCACATTTACCGGTATTTTTAACTCATCTTACATTGTTTGGTGACTTGTGTGAACATCCCTACTACTTTGCCCGCTCTCCCAGATAAATACCATAAAAATACCCCCAAAAATACCAACGGTCGCTCTCTCCTCTCTGAATATGCAGTCTGAGGTTTTTTTTATTTTGAATCAAATTTAAAGTCACTAATTTCTATGAAATTAAGCATTTAATTAGCCTTTGATCGAGTGATCCGAGTGCCCAAGAGCCAACCGTCCGCCCCCCGACCGCGCAATCATCGCGGGCAACCCAAGAAGAGCCCCCGGAAAATCAAAGGAATAAATCAAAAACGACAGCGTGCCGCAAGCCGAAGAGAGCGGATCTCAGTTCGAGGTGCATGCAGCACGTTGTAATTAGGTTAGCAGCATATAGCAGCACCACATAACATAATAACATGGCCCATCAGCAGCAGCAGGGCATGGACTCGGCCTTGTTCGAGCGGCGATTGCGGCCGGTCTACGGTGAGTGTTCCATGGAACGGGGATGTCCAAATCCATCAAACAGGTTACACATTGTTACCGCAATCCTCATCCGCAGATAACTTGGAGGTGGGCAACAACCGCAAAGCCCTGCAGGAGTCCGAGAAGCTGCTAAAGAAACATCCAACCCTGCTCTGCGCACGTGCTCTGAAGGGTCTATCCCTCCTTCGACTGGGTCGCTATGACGAGAGCCATGGATGCCTCCAGACCGTGGCTGAGGAGAAGCCCACGGACGACTCCACGCTGCAGGTGCTATCCTTTTGCTACCGCGAAATGGAACAACGTACGTATGGGCAGGAGTTTGCCTTGAGGGCTTATAAGATTAGGAGTTGAAACCGGGTTTTCACTGGAGACTTATAGACAATTGATAACTATTTAAGGCTAACAACGTACTTATCACCTGGATAGATAAGGAGAATTCCTAGCACTTTTATTAGGTAAAGCATAGATACGAGAAAATAACTAACCTCGGTTTAGTATGGAAACTTACTGAGATTAAAGCCAATGCTTTCATTTGTTAAATAGTAAAGTGTAACTTATGACATACCACAAGAGATAGGAAACAAAAATTAACATTAATTAAAATTAAGAATTAATGCCCTGCTTTCTACCAAATATAGGTTAAATTAACTATTTTGAAGATTTAAAAAATTTGTATTTCGTTGAAAAAGGTTACAATTATTGTCGAGAAGAGAAAAATAAATTTTAAATCAGATTAAATGATAGATATTGACTAGTAGAGTAGATAGAATAGAATAGAGTATCATTTGGATTTTCTTCCAAGAGTCAAGATTACAAAATTATAGATTTAATTAAATAAAATAGGTTTTTAAAAAAAAAATAATTAAATTTGTTTAAAATTTTTTTTAGGTTTCATATTATTTCTTCACAAAAGTCAAAATTAATTTAAGAAGTAATTATTAATCGGTTTCTGATCAAGGTTCAACATTTAATGAACGAATTCGACAGTTTTATTATAACAAAGTCCGAATGTTTTAACCAAAAACATCTGGACCCGTACATTTTTTTATTCCCACATCCGCCACGTCGCATCCGCAGAGTTTATCCCCCAGGGACGCCCCTGCCACGCACACGAAGTGCCCACAATTCATATTTTCGTATTTTCTTGGCACGCGCACCTCGCCCGACTAATTAAAATCGCATTCTACTAGTCGGACGACGGCGGCAAGTGCGTGCCAACGATCTGAATATATATTGTACCTGCAAAAAAAAGCGCTAATTATATATACATACCTCCGAATCTTTGCAGTGGATAAAATTGTGGAGCTGTACCAGCACGCGGTAAAGCAGAATCCCGGCAATGAGGAGCTGCTCGCCCACCTCTTCATCTCGCATGTTAGAGTAGAGGACTACAAGGCGCAGCAGGCGGTGGCCCTGCAGCTCTACAAGGCTCAGCCAAAGAATGCATACTACTTTTGGTCCGTGATCAGTGTAGTCTTCCAGGGAATTCGAGGACCGGAGTCGGCGCAGCCAGAGAAGAGGAAAATCTACCTGGGTCTGGCCCAGCGAATGGTCGACAAGCACATCAAGGAGGGCAAGTTGGAGACGGAGCAAGAGGCCTTTCTCTATCTGCACATTCTCAAGCTACAGAGCAAGTACCAGGAGGCATGGGAATTCCTCACTGGCGAGCTTTGCGCCAAACTCTATCCTGGTGCTCCTGTCAGCATGAAGTTCGAGCTGCTCAAGGAACTGGGTAACTGGCGGGAGCTCAATGAGTTGTTGCAGCAGCTTCTTGACGCAGAGTGAGTTCGGTTAATCATTGGACGAATCTATAAATTAATGTTTCATTAATTCAGTCGAGACCGCTGGGACTTCTACAAGGAATACATCCAAAGTTCGTTCGAGTTGCTTAAACTGACGTCAAAGGCTGAGGAAAACGGTGAGAGGGATTCGCTGGCCAAATGTCAGGAGTTCCTTCAGGGCATTATCGACTCCTCGGAGCGCAAGAAGCGGGGTCCCTATCTGGCGCGTTTGGAGCTTCACCAGCGCATGCGAGCAGACCAACTGCCGGCGGAGAAGCTCGTCGGCGACTTTGACGAAATGATCATCGAGTACTTCCGTCTATTTGGCGACAAGTCCTGCTGCACCCATGATATCGCCTTGTTTTTGCCTTCGATCAGTATGAAGCAGAGGCAGGCGTTGGCCAGCAAGTTGCTGTTGGAGAGCGGAGTCACCTCCACGTCGCTTCCGAAGAATGTAAGTAAAGCAAAGTTTAAGAATAAAACCTTTAAGCTCAACAATGTTTTATCAAATCCTTGCAGAAAGAACAGATGCAAAAGCACCTTTGCGCTCTGCAAATCTCGCGGATGTGCGGCTCCCATATGGAGTTGCCCGTGGACCACCTGCTTGCCTTCTATACGGCCCTCAAGCTGCACTACGAACACGGCCGGAGTACTTTCGGCAAAAAGCTGCTGTCAACGGAAATGGGACCTTCGGATGCATATGCCCTCCTGGCGGCGAATGTTATGTACGACCTGAGTAGACGAGAAAACAAATCTGATTACCTGTTCGAGGCGCTATGCTTGCTGCAGTACGTTCTGCGTAATAGCACGAGTAATTTCCACGTGAAGCTGCTGAGTTTGAAGATCTACCATCTGTTTGGTTGCCAGGTGGGTGCTCAGGAGATGTACGAGTACCTGGACATCAAGCAGATCCAGCTGGACTCTATGGGCTATGTGCACTGCCAGTTATTACCGCTGGGCGGTCGTTTCTCGGGTACCCGAAATGTATACGATGCTACTTTGAAGTTCTTTACTAACAGCTATAAGGAACGCTTGGAGTATATTGCTTTGACCTATCGCTTCTGCACATTTTCCAAGATGGAGGAGTTCATGAACTTCAAGGAACGGCTAACGAACAGCTTGCAGTACGTGGCCTGCTCGGTGGAGGCGCAGATCTGCGACCTAGTCAGTTGTTATGGCAATATCCAGCAGAACCTGACAGCATATTCTGCTATGAGCATTGAACCGGCGGAGGACCGGATCGCCTGGCATGAGTTGAGTGACAATCGTGACTTAGAGGCTGTCATCCGCTGGGATCCCCTTCACGAGGTGGATGCTGCAGAGGAACGCAAAGAGTCTTTCGATCAAGAAGTAGAGGTCCTGCAGGTGCGGTCGCTAATGCTCCGACTCTTTGCATCCTTTGTTGACTTGTATCACGGGACCAGTTCGAAAGATGCGCCAGCGGGAAAGGAGACGGCTACCCTTGAACTCCTGCGTGAGTCCTGGACGGGATTATTCCAGCGACTGCGTCTGATGAACTACAAGCCCTTGGCACAAAAGTTTCTAGTCAATCTGCTGCCTACACGCCTTCACCTGCTGCTAGAACTGCCATACGAACGATTCTTTGACGACCTGGCCCAACTGGTCCTCGATCTGCAAAGCGGATCCGGAAAGCTGGCGGAGCAGTGCAAAAGGGTGGGTGACAATGTCATCACTGTTATGGAGCTGTGTGTGCAGACCATCAACGAAAGCAACGAGTGTAACGGCATGGACGGTCTTTGGAAGCGGCGGCAGCATCAGCAGAAGGTTGCGGCCAGTCTGGAGGTACATGCTCTCGATAATAAAACTCATAAAGCGATCTTTATACAATTATCAATATCCAATTAATATTTCTGTTCCAGATGCTATCTCTTTATGCCTTCCTGCTGTCCGTGCTGAACGACAAGCTGCAGGTCAGCTCGAAGACCAAGACCAAGAAGAGGCAGGTGGATAACAAGGTGGATGGAACCCAGCCGATCAGTGAGAAGGAGCGAAGCCAGATGTTGCAAGAGCTTGTGCGACAGCTTAAGCACAAGCTCGAGTCCTGCGACGCAGCCATCCGTAAGCAAATGCATCATATTTTTTTTTTGAGAAAAGCTAATTTTCAACTCATTAATATTCAGGCACCTGGAAGGCGCCGGTGCTGCCGCGCGACCTCAGCTCGTTTATGTCGGACATGTCGCTGAAGCCGGAGGTGGAGGCCACACTCATCGGAGATGTCTCGGCCACTTTTAAGGACTCACACGAGCTGATGGTACCCGAGTTACGCAATTTGCTGAAGGACAAGATACGCATGGTGGCCAAGTAGATGCCTCTTTGCTGTGCAAAGTCCATCGGCCAGTCTGGACATCGCTGCCTAATCACGATCCAAGTTCATAGTTTGTTATTTAATTTTGTTAACGAATACAACCAACTTCCTACTCCCCCCACATTACTATTATCTCGAACACTAGAACCAACTCAGCACTTTTCAATCAATTTTCGGCATTTTCCTCGTACAACATATAAGTTGTAAAATTTGTGAAACAAAAATTTAAAATAATACAAAAAGAAAAAAGATTGCGTATCGCTTGCGGGTAAGTTAAATAAAAGAACAAATTGTACAAAAATTACAAAAAACAAAGTTTTTGAATTTAGATTTTATAAAAAAATGTAGATATACTTATGCACATAAGAATTGAAGTAAAATAAGAAAAAAATTTATCCTCACCTGAAAAAACAGCCAACGAAAAGAAAATCTCTACAAAAATGAAGGAAGGAAGTTTTCAAAAGCAAAGTTTGGTATATCAATTTTAATTTTGTTATGGTTATTTTATTCAGCTTAGTATCAGACTTTAAAAAAGTGTCTTTTTATTTTAAATGTATTCCTATTTCTGCGAAATGGGCTGCGATAAGGATTGTTTTTTTTTCAAACAATAGCTGCAATATTTCCCACTTTAATCGTATTAAGATAGGCACCTAACCGTGGATCATTTAGATGCTGTTGGGTTTGCAGGTGGGCCACCAGATTGTGAATACGAGCAAAGCTCTTGCCGCAGAGACGACACCTTTTGGAGCAGATATAATAATGGGTTGGTTTAAGTTTAAATTAAATATACTTACGTGTGAGGTTTCTCTCCCGTGTGGGTTTTGTAGTGAACCTTAAGGACACTGGCGTAGGTAAACGTTTTTCCGCAGGTCTGGCAAGAATAAGGACGCTCATTTCGATGAGTTCTGTAGAGGATAAATTTTTACATTTTATTTATGGCTTAGATTAAAACCAAATCAAGTGTTAATTGTATGACAAAAATGTTTTATTATTTGTCTATAACAATATTTCTTTAATTTGGGACTTTAATAGGAACATTATACTATTATTATATAATATTATATATTTTTTAAATTGTCTACCTTTCGTGCTTGACCAGTGAAGTGCGATCTGCGAAGCTGCGCTGGCAATATTGGCAGGTGTATGGCTTTGCTCCCGTATGCTGGCGGATGTGGCGCTTCAATTGGTAGTTGACGTAAAAGCACTTGTGGCAGATCCTTAAAAGTGGCGTGTTAAAAAGGGACATAAATAACACCTTTTGAATCCACTTACTCACATTCGTAGGGCTTCTCATTATTGTGCCTTCTCATGTGGGTGTCCAATGTGCTCTTCCTGGGATATCCATTGCCACAGATGTCGCATACATAAAGTTTTCCAATGACTGCAGGAGCAGGAGTAGGATCAGGTGCAGGACTAGGAGCAGAATCTGGGACAGGAACCGTTTGCACGTCCAGAACCATTGGTTTTTCCATCTCCGCCGCTGGCGGTGGAGTCTCCTCGACTAGATCTTCCGTGGCCCAAGCTCCCTCCTCCAGCACCTCCACCTCCAGTTGTTCGTACTGCTCCGTTTCCACAGTAGGCGGTGGAGTAAGTTTCGAAATTGGATCCACTTGCTCCACCACATCCTTTTCCACCTGATGTGGTCCATCTTTGACCACATATTTTTTGAGAAATTCGTTGGAGCGCTGGCAAATCTGACGGAATTTGTGCGCCAGGGTAAGAAAGGCCTTGCATCTGGAGCAGATCCTGGTGGGTAGGTCCTCCGTCGGTTTTATCTGTAGGTAAACACTTTGTTTACTAATAAAGTTAAAAGAAATCAAACAGTTCCGTTCCCAACCTGAATTCCGCTCAAGCTTTCGATTTTCTCGCAGAGTGAAATGCCGCTGAGAAGTTTGTCATCCGCATCGTAAATGGAGACCATGTGAGCCTCACCATCCTGCAGGCAGGTTCTGCACAGGGTCACCATGTCCAGTCTCAGCTCCATTTAAATCAAACGAAAGGACAAAAATTAACGATCAAAATAAATATGCTTCCTCTAGGCGATTTTGCCAATCAACGATATCTATCGGTAAGGTAATTTGACATTCGCCCAGAAGTCCACAATTTTAATTGTTTGGTTTGGACAAGCCATATGTATTGTTTAAGTATTTAGGAGTTTTGGCTTGTGATAACAGAACCATGCCTCGTATAAGGAGAACAAGGACCTGCAGTGTCGCATCTGCTTGCTACAGCCGAAGGATGAGTCCCTCATGCCCACTGAGCCAGATTTTCGGGAGCAAATTAAACGATGCACGGGTGTTGAGGTAAGTTTTAAAATGGCTTTGTTATGGTTTATCTGTATTTAATAAAAACCTTATTGCTTATCCCTAGATGAGTGAGAATCTTAACTGGCCCAACCGCATTTGCACAAGCTGCGCTCTGCTTTTTAGAGCAGCCCTCAAACTCCGATCCCTTTGCCAGAAGGCAGAGACGGAGCTCCTCCGGCAAACGGAACAGGAATTCCATATCGAAATAATAAATGATGGCCAGGAAATGAAGCAGTATAATGATTCCAAGGATATGCTAACCACTGAACCTTCCTGCAGCGACAGCGAGGTGCATTACGAGTATCTGGAATCATACGATGTGACGCTGGAGAGCGCCGAAGATGAAGCCTGTAGTGTAGATGAAATGGTCAGCATAGAACCCACTAACTCCGCGCCAGAGGAGTCCATATATTCACTAAGTCCCAAACCGGATGCTGGAGAAGAGGAGGAATCCAGCCAGTCTTCCTCCTTTGCCTGCAAAATATGCCACAATGTCTACACGGAGCAGATTAAGTTGACAACCCACATGAGGGTTCACAGCACGGAAAAACCACATGAGTGCGAGTAAGCTGAGATTTTGATTTTTTTGCTTTTGCATCGGGATTAATCCCCTTCTCTTTAAGGATCTGCCATAAACGATTCCGACAGACACCGCAGCTGGCAAGACATATGAACACACACACTGGAAATCGACCCTACAAATGTGATTACTGCGACTCCAGCTTTGCAGATCCCTCTACTCGAATCAAACATCAGAGGTCAGTAAAGTTGCTCATAGCTTAAACAAGAAAGCTAAATTGCTCCCTATCAACATTCAAAACCTAATATCTTTCGAAATACAATTTAGGATCCACACCAACGAAAGACCATACAAATGTAAGTTCTGCAGCAAGTCCTTCGCCTACTCAAATGTGCTCCGGGTTCATCTGAAAACCCACACGGGTGAGCGACCATTCAGTTGCCAGTACTGCCAGAGGACTTTCTCCCAACTGCACCACAAAAACGCACATGAAAAATCGCATAAGCCGAAAAATGAACTAAAAACGTGGAAGTGACTAGTGAAGTAAAACTTTTTAGTACAAAAAAATAATAACAAAAAAGGAAGTAAAAGTAAAGATTATGTACCCTTGCAGCTTTTAAAAAATTAAATATTCTCTAAAAAGACTATTTTTTCCTATGGCGACTATATGATAAAGTCTTCCGATTTTTCAAAAATTAAAACCGCAATTCTAAAATATCAAATTATATTATTTTAAATTATTCGTTTCGGAGTGTAACCGTACTATTTAAAAAAAATAACATGAAGTTCCCATTAAATTATTTTTTTGATTTTTTCTACTGTTCCGACGTAGAAACGGATAGTCGGACATGGCTAGTATATATATACTTTATAGGGTCGGAAATGTCCCTTTCACACTGCTGCAAACATTTGACTGAAATGACTGAAGGTATTACCTTCTGCAAGACGTACTTCTCTGAAAACAACAATAAAAATATCTATCCGCAACGATTGAAATGTTACAGATGAAACTTATTTTCTTAAATATGTGTTAAAAATAATAAATAAGAACTGCATAATTAACTGGACAAATATAAAGATTGTTTTTAAAAGTGGTTGCTTAAATTAGGCCAAAAGATACAACTACACATTAAAGTTGAAAATTACCGTTTTATTATATTTATCGGAAATAATCTAGCTTACATTTATAGTTTTAAATGTTAGCCTACACTTACAATGTTTAATGGGAAGCTATAACAGTGGCATTTTCAAATCCTAAAACTAAAATGGCTTATCCAAATCGTCTTAATATAAACAATTTATTTTTTGGTTACCTAGTTGCGGGGAAATCAACTAAGAAAATCTAGGGCCTCTTCCTTGATGTCCTCTCCCTCGGCACTCATTTCCACATCAGGTTTCCAAGGGCAGGCCCTTTCGTGCGTACCCCGATGCAAACGCATCTTGTAGGCCTTCACAAAGCCCTTGCCACAAAGATCACAACTAGAAGAGGTTGTTTGCTATTCAAGGAGATCGATCAATAGAAGAATAGTAAACAACTTACACATGTGGCTTCTCCCCCGTGTGAATCATCTTGTGGAACTTCAGGTTGTCCGAGTAGGTAAAAGTTCTAGAGCAAACATCGCACTCGTAGGGTCTCTCCTTGGTGTGAATTCTTGAAGGGATTCCCATTTTATTAGTTTTCAGCAGAACTTCATTAATTAATATATACCTATGATGTTTGGTTTTGGTGGATCGATCCGCAAAGGCGGCTGGACAGTAGTTACACTTGTAAGGCCGGTTCCCCGTGTGCGTGTTCATGTGCCGCACCAGCTGTTGATTCTGGACAAAGCCTCGTCCGCATATCCTGCAAAACAAATTGTGATCAGCAAGTATTACAAATTATTTGCGAAATTTTAAACTTACTCGCATTCGTGGGGCTTGACGCCCAAATGGAACTTCATGTGTTCGGTGAGACGGGCCTGAGTGGGATAGATATTTCCACACACGTCGCAGATGTAGCTGCTGAGCTTGTTGCGTGGCTTTCTGCCCGGCTTCTTTTTGGCGGTTTCGACCTCTGGGGAGGTTCGGTTGGGTGTAGCCGACTTTCTGCTTGATCGCTGGTGATTTGCCAGTGGTTTATTAGTAGTCCGTGTCTCCGGCACATAACTTTCGTCCGAGCTAAGAATATCTTGACATAGGTCATCGTCGGGAACTTCTTCTTTAACCGTATTTGTAATATTAGAGCGTTTTCCCTGGGCGCTTTCACTTAATGTCTCGGGGTTCTCGCTGGTGAGCAGCTCATATTCCTCATAAACAGCATAGGGCTCCGCCTCTTCGATCACAATCTGCTCAACATCAAAGACAGCATGCGTGGGATCCTGCTCATCGTACAAAATGGTATCGCCCCCTTCGTCATCCTCAACTACATAAGCAATAACCTGCTCTTGCTGCTGTTTCGCCAGTTTACACTTCTCCTCCTCCAGCTTAAAACTGCCATCCAGTTGGCTGGTGTCGTCCTCCACCTTAAATCCGTCATCCAGTTGGCTGGTGTCTTCCTCCCAAATCTTGACCACGCTCTCCACCGTAAGGTCGTCGGAGAGGTCAAGGTGTTGTTCTTCGCCAGGTGTACTCGAGTTGCTGGCCTCCCGCACCAGCATATCCATGATTTGCTGGTGGGATCGTTGGCAGGTCAGTCGGAATTTGTAGCACAGCCGCAGGCAGCGCACGCACTTGCTGCACATCTTGTCGGGAAACTTGTCATCCAGACTGACCTGTTGGGTCTGTTATTATTAACCTGCTTAAATAGTTTTGTAGTCCTACTTACAGGTATGCCTGCGCAAATGTGCAGCATTTGATCCAGACGTGTGCTGGCCGTTTGACTGAAAATCTCGTGGAGCAGCTCCTTCGCCCTCGCTGGGATTGTTCAGGCAGACGCGGCACACAATCCACTTCTCGTTCGACTCCGTTTTCATGACGAGTTATGCGTATTTATTGTTATTTGTACGTAGTTTCAAAAATTACAAAAGGTACAACAGCTGAATGCAAGCGTCCGTGACCATTCACAACGAAACGCTGTTGGTCCTGGTACGGTAGGTATCGGGTAAGAAAAACAAAGCGGTTAGTGAAGACAAATAAGATAATTATAATTTTTAAACTCTCATGTTTAGCAAATTATATTGCAAAGATGTTAACACATTTTTAACTTTTTTAAAATATAATAAATGATAATAATAAATTAATAAAGATTTAAATCCATTGTTATTGTCTTTAAATGGTCTCGACAGAGATAAGCCCCACAACTTTACAAGGAAATAGTAATATTAAACTGATCCATTCAGAAACGATATTTTTTTTGCATTATAATTTAATTTAAACCATTCTTACTCGAAGAACGGAACCCCCTTAATTGCGATATCGCCGATGCCGTGGTCACCCTGTGGAGCCACCATTCGCGTTGCAACGTAACCATCTTGCCTCCAGACTACATTATATTTTTTTGGCGTCGTCTTCGTCCAGCGAGCGTGTTCAACGAAATATAAAAGTGGAGTATAGCTACCCGGAATAGATTTACGTTCTATTCGCGACAATGAGAGACTCGGCGGCACAAGCGAGTCCGGCTGCGGCGCCAGCGACCACGCAGAAGTGGATCGTTTGCCGGGTTTGCCTCCAGCAGCCCAAGGAGCCCATGGCCAGCATTTTCAACGACGATTCGGAGAAGGACCTGACCAACATGATCAGGGAATGCGGCGGAGTGCCCGTAAGTACATCCTACTGACCCACACACTGTCTTATATTTCGGCAATCGCTTTGGCAGATCAAGCAGTTCGATCACTATCCGGACAAGATTTGCGAGAAGTGCTTGAGGGTGCTGAAAACGGCATTCAAGTTTCGGGAGACTTGCCAGCGATCCTACGGTCATCTGCGGCAGTTTGTGGGCCCCGTGGAGGTGGAGCAGCGAACGCCGGAAAAAAAATGTGCTGAACCAACCCCCAAACAGGAGCAGGAGCCTGAGGAAGCGGAGCAAGAGCAGGAGCAAGAAGAGGATGAGGAGGAGGATCTAGATGAAAGCCAATACGCCGAGGCCGAGGCGGATGAATCTGCGGAGGCTCAGGGCGGCGTCTTTAATGACGAGCTCGAAGACGGCATCCTGGTGGAACTGGAGAAGGATCGCATTGTACATGTGAAAAGTGAACAGGTGGAGGAGGACGGCATTATCGAGGAGGTGTACGACGTGTACGAGACCTACGAAGGCGATATCATCACAGAGCAGGGGGTTTACGATCAGGAAGTGGCGGATCAGTCGCTCTCCGAACTTTCAGCGGATATTGAATACTTGGATCAGGTTGATCAGGACCAATTGACCGAAAGTGCCCATGAGGACGAGGCGGATGGTGATATGAATTCAAACGAGGAGGAGTTCATTCCCACCAAAAGTATTCTGGCATCCATCAACGCCCGAGGGGGCAATAAGCGGAGAGCCAATCCGCGTAGGGCAGCCGCATCCTCAGCGCCGGTGGCTGCATCATCGGGCACCTCAAAGACAGCCGCTCGCGGCAATCCGCTTAAAGTACGGCGACAGGGCACCAATGATGCGGCTGCCACCAAGATCGTCATTAACTCCGAAGATGGCATCTCCATTGGGGAGGTGCTGGCGCGGAAGCACTCCGCCATCAAAACCAAAGGCGGTCACAAGATCCTCGTCGGTGACAAGAAGGAGTTTAAGTACATCTGCGACGTCTGCGGCAACATGTATCCCTCTCAGAGTCGTCTCACCGAGCACATCAAAGTCCACTCCGGTGTGAAGCCGCATGAGTGCGAGTAAGTCTTTAAGGGAGAGAATTACAAATTTTTCTAGTTAATAACTTCTAAGGAAATAAGTATTTTATATAGGGCTTTTATTCCAATTCCGTAGATTTGATTACTGAAAAATAATTTTAATTTAAATTTACGCAGTGCAATTCCGTTCATAAGATACTCTTTCTTAAACGTATATGTAATATTATTTCGAAATCTTAAATTTAATCAATATTTTTTTTAATTTTTTACATCTTTTTTGTTTAATTAATTTAAAAGTCATCATGTTTATATTTTGTTATTGGTCAAAATATCGTTAAAATGTTTGTTTTTAGAAATATTAGTTTCAAAATCAAAAGGACAAAAGACAATAGTAGGTAGGTTATATTTCAATGATGCTAAGTAAATTAGGTACATAGTAAACAAGTTCTGATAGTTTCAGAACTAATGTAAGGTTAAAATAATTTGCATTTTCCTACTTCTCTACTTGTCTCTTCTTAATCTGGATTTTTAATTTTTAGGATCTGTGGTCACTGCTTTGCACAGGCTCAGCAATTGGCGCGTCACATGAACACCCACACTGGAAATCGGCCGTACAAGTGCAGTTACTGCCCGGCAGCCTTTGCAGATCTGTCTACCCGCAACAAGCACCACAGGTCAGTTGGTTAACTCATGATTATTATTGAATAATCTTGACTTGACTCTAAAATTACCTCCTGCAGGATCCACACAAACGAGCGTCCTTATGAGTGCGATGTTTGCCACAAGACCTTCACGTACACCAATACATTGAAGTTCCACAAGATGATTCATACGGGAGAGAAGCCGCATGTGTAAGTTTCGCTTTCCCCTTGAAAATACAGTCCAACTTCTCTTGCACGAACTTTCACTATTGAAGATAGTGGTAATGTGCATTTTGGTTCCAATAAGGCTAGGTATTTCAGATACCATATACCGAAATTATTAAATTTTCACATGCAGTTTTTTTTTCATTGTGTTATTTTGAGTTTTCTTTATGAATTTAGAATTCTATAAATTGTTCCATAAAATGTAAAAATAGAAAATAAGTTCAAGCGATGGTAGGCAATTTTTTGTTCTCGCGAATTCTCCTAATTAATAGTATCTTATTTTATGGGACACACATTAATTTCAATGTGGCTAAACAGCTACTGAGTTTATAGTACTTATATTAAATGAAAACTCTTCTCTTTTCCTCCAGTTGCGAAGTCTGCGGAAAGGGCTTCCCACAGGCGTACAAGTTGCGCAACCACCGGATCATCCACGAGCGACGCGGTCAATCCACACGGGAATCCGTCAGCGGGCTGATGCCATACGATACGGCCAACATCGTGGGCCTGGAAATTTAAATTTCGAGCGAGGACTCCTCGTCGTCCCAAAGCGACACTTTAAACATTAAACAGACACACGCGTGTAATTACACATCTAAGTATATTGATGAAATTTAAGCCTAGCCTAATTATGCGGAAATAAATTAAGTATAGCTGCGCAGATGGTCTTTGCGTCGGTCTCCTCCGGATATAGCTGCAGTACGGCGTGCACCTGGTGCGGCGGAAACAGACTTCCCAGGTGATAACGGAGCAGTCGGCGTTGCTCCTCCCGCGGAAGTTGCTGCGAGGCGTGTAGCTCCTCGTTGATGCGTGAATCAGAGGCGGACAGATGAGCGAAGTTGTGAGCGGGCAGTGGCAGACCCAAACCCTGATCCGTGACCGGGGCGGAAGGCGTGCGCGTCAGATACTGGTGGTGATAGTTGGAGCTGGAGTTGGACTGTTGGTGCTGCTGTTGCACCTGCTGCTGCTGCTGCTGGAGGGGAGCACTGTATGTGGGCACCAGGAGGCGATAAGCGGGAGGCGGCTGTTGGCGCTGCAGCTTCTTATGGCGATTTGGCTGACTGGATTCAACGGAGCCCTCGGACAGCTCCATTTGAGCCGAAAAGCCCTGGCACACCTGCTCGATCGTGTTGGACTTGGTGCGCCCTAATGGCTCTCGGCTAATCAGTGAGTTGATCTTAAGATTGTTATTATTACCACCCGGACTGATCATCTGTTGACCCCCATTCGTGTGCAGCGGAGCACTGTGGGAGGCCTGGAGTGGCAGACGCTGCAGCAGCGGACCCTGATTGTGGTGCCGAAACTTGCACTTCTGCCCATAGGTGCACTTCTTGCCATAAGGACACAGCTGCTGGGCATCCGCCATCTTCTGCTGCGTTTGCGAGCACAGGAACAGATCCAGATTTGGACCAGATCTGCCCAGCGGATCGTCGGGCGGCATGAAAATGTCATTGACAAACGAGTACATCAGCAGGCGCTCCTGCACGACGCGCCGGAACTCGTTGCTCTCCAGGATCAGATCCCTGTAGTTGTCGTTGGACACCACAATGCCATCGGTTTCCACGGCCAACTTGAGTATGAAACGATCATCGTAGCACGACACTCGCTTGCCATCCAGATGACGCGATGGCGTAAACACCAAGTACCTTTCGTGCTCCAGCTCGTAGAGTAGCTCCTGGTCGGCGATATTGTTGTTGGCCAGCTCCTTGCGCCAGTTGGGCACAAAGGCGGTGATGTCGCGATGTCCACGCTGCCGGAACCAATCCACACAGATGCGGATGCCGCGGCAGGAGAAGATCAGGTTGTTGCCGTGCGACAGGGCAACATTACTGCCATCGATAACGATGTGTCGCAGGGCGTAGATGTTGCTGCCGGCGGTGGAGGAGGAGGACAATGGGGAGGTGGTCGATGGATTACCTCCACCGCCTCCTGCGTGGGCGGGTCGTGGTGCATCGGCCGTCAGCTTGATCAGCTCCGCCAGCAGCTCATTCTGCTTGGCCTCCGAACCCAGACGCGTCAACGCCGAGTGGATGGACTGTTCGCTGTAACCCAGCTTCTTGGCAAACTCCAGATTCTGGCGCTCCGTCGTCCGGCTGGCACTCTCATCGTCGTCGGAGCAGCTCTCCTGCTTTCTCACTGGCAACTTGTTGCTGCTGCTGCTGTGATGTTGTTGCTGCTGCTGTTGTTGTTGTTGCTGTTGCTGCTGCTGCTGTTGGCTGATGTTTTTGCTGCTCCTGCACTTCACAGTTCATTTTGATGCGCATTTAATTGACCAGCGGCTGGCTTTCCTTCGGCTGCTCACTTCTGCTGTTCGGGAACTCCGATTAGTTGTGTTTTTAGCTGTCTCTGCAGCAAGTTCCGTCTATTTACATTTACAGACTTCCGTGTTGTTGTTGTTTTTGTTGGTGCTTGCTGGTGAGCAGTGTGACCGAAGGCCGGGCGCCGACAAATACCTCCGTTCTGTGCACTCACACGCTGGTCACATAGCGGTGTAACTTTTTTTTGAATCTTTACGTGCTTTTTTAAATGGAGAAACCCAACCTAACGACTTTTAGCAAACATGCTTATTGTATAATTTTCAAAATAAAACATTAAGGTTTTTCAACAATTTTGAAATATTTTTAATAAAATGAGCTAATTATATAACTTACTTGGTTTGTTTAGCTTAAAATAATTAAAATTCTTGAAGATTATTCGATTTACTAATTTAAATCTTACATGTTTTTTAAGTCTTATAAATCCCAAAATACAAGCAATTTTCACCCTTTTATGACATTCATCACAACGAGGACTGCCATTCTAAGTGGTATAAAGAAATATAGTCCATACGCCAGGTTGGCCGAATCTTTGACAATAAAGTCATTCTCTCTTTATTTGTACCGTCCTTTTTCTGATCAAATCATTTTGTTCTTCCTTTATTATTGGAAGCCCAAAACACAATAATTTTCTCATTTATATTACTCCTTTTATTGTATTCATTTTTAAATATTTTCTTTTGAATATTGTTTTTAAATAAAACCCCATTTTAAGTTCAATAACATGCATAAACTTTCTTTATTGTATTGTTGTACATAAAGTATATCGAATATAGTTTTAACAATTTTCACACTACTATCAACATTTATAGATCTCACTTAGGTTAGATTTAATTAGTTAAAATAAAGTACACGTTTTTCGTATTGAATTCTTTGTTTCATTGTACGTTTGGTCCCCCTTTTCATGACAAAAAAGGATGCACTGCCTTCGAATTAGCTACAAATTCAATAGTTTACTAGGTATAAGTGGTCACATCTATCTTGGTTACATAGATATCTATATGCTACGCCCGAAGTGCAATTGGATAAATGCATATACAAAACACAATACGTCCCTTCCAGCGACACTAAAGCAATTTTCATTAATTTCGTTTCGTCCTGGCGAGTCCTTTTCAACTTTGGCCAAGACATGCGGCAATTAGTGAGACAGCCATACATAAAAAAAAAACTATAAAACTGAACGTAAAGTTGACTACGTGTGGTATGGGGTAGTCTGTAGTTGCTGTGTATCTAAGTCCGCTTGAAAAGCTACGAATCATCCTTTTCGCACGCAGCGAAAGTGAGTTCCCTTCAAAGGATAAGGATGCATTTTGAGTTTCCCCCAAACTCAATTTTTCTCCTGACTCAGACACACGACAAGTGCTAAAATTTGTGCTTAGCGTGTTCTTCCAATTTTTTTTTTACGATGGTCGTCGTAAAATTTATTGTTGCTCTTTGAGCATGTCTGCGTTTTTATGCTGGTATTTTTTTTGCTTAACGGATAATTAGTAAAGTTTTTCTCTTTCGCTTTTCCGCTTTCCATGGCTATTGTAGATGATGCACTATTAAACTACATTTCGGTGGTTAAGTGTCAAGTTAACTTTTGGGTTTAACTGGGTTTAGTCAAAGTGTTGTGCTATGAAAAGAACGGATTCATTGGTGGAGGCTAAAAAGAAAGGGTTTCAAAATATACTAACTTATCAACTTAACTTTAAAAAGAAAAGTTTCATTTGAATGTGTTTATCTAAATAACATAAAAAAGGCTTTATTGATAAAATAAAAGTTCAGAAATAGAGCTTTCAGCTAACATCTAAAATATAATTTTCCAGACAGAATTTTAGCTAAGTCATAATTCGTCGTAAATCCTCCAACATAAAATCCCCTCAGAGTCAATTTTCCATGTCAATAGACCCATTTACTCATAAGTAATTCGTCTGGCTTTAACGTAAGTGCCCTCTAGCCGTAGGATTTAATAGGACTCGGTCTCCACGTGGTTGCCAAGCAATTGATGAGCTCTCATCACGGGCTGCCAATTTGTCAAACGATAATTTCTGGTCCAACGAACTTTGTCATTTATCAGTTGTTTAATTTTTAAAAGCATTTCAGGGGGATATGGACCCCATACTCCCCACAAATCGAGTTATTTGTTTGCTCTTAGGCCTCTTGATGTGCCTAAAAAAGCAGGAAAAATAACAACAAAATGCTTTGAAACCGATGACGGAGGTTGTCTAAGCTGATTAACATTGAGTTCCCGACACATTGCCAAAAAGGCGGATGTGTGTTTGTTTTTGGGCGGTGAGCCGGAATACGTTCTATATTGAACATATATTTTTTTGGGGGCCTTCCGGCCGACAAGAGCTTTAATTTATGTTCACAGCTTAGTTTGTCGAAGGACCTTTAAATGTGGTCCATTTTGCTCTAATTTAATGCCAACTCTTTCTGGCTTTATCTCCGGTTCGGAATCGCTTTGCTCCCACGGAATCGCAGGACGATTTCTTTTATTGTTCCTTTACTCTTTGTTCGTGTGCAATGCACCCAGTTTCCCTTACAGTTTTTATTATAACAGCCTCAAGCTACGGGCGTGAGCCCTCCCTCAGCCAAAAAAAAATGAAAATGAAAACAGAGAGCAGAAAAAAAGGACAAAAAAGGATATAAGAAAAGTCACTCAATAGCTGGGTATGTCTCTGTCCCTGTCCATTGGTTGGTTAAATGCTCCCGCGCTGTCAATACTCGAAATTGGAATATTTGTGGATGAACACACAGAGAATAAAGTCAGAGCAAAATAAAATGTTAATAAGCTCAATGTAAATAATACAAATCTTAATAACACCTAAAAAATAAACTTGTTGAGGCGAATATAATTCATTTTGACTCAGCTTAAATGCTTAAATGTAAAACCAAAAAACAATTAAAGCATTTTTGTGTTCACAAACATGTTTTCAAAAGAGTTATGTGTTTCTTACACATTTTTTTTGCTTGATAATGGATTATATATAAATTAATACAAAAATTTATGAGAAAGAAAATTTAACAGAAATAATAAAAGTTTTCTATTTCATTTTATATTTTCATTAAACTTCATATGTTTTTTAGGTGGTTGAGATTAAAAAAATATTTTCAATGTTCGTATACATTGTTCTGTAAAAAATGAATAGAATGGATCATGCATACTTTGTGTTTGTGATTTTAGTACTGTCTCATCTGTACATTTTAATCATAAAGTTATAGCTAAATAATTCAGAATTTATTTCTCAGTGATACATATGCACAATGTTTCCACCATTCAGTTTTGGAAGGCAACAATATCGACACAGCGCACTTGCAAAAGAATCGCTTATATTTCTTTCGCTGCCATTATTGTGTGGTGTGAGGTTTCGGTTGGCTCTTTTTTATTATTCCTCCTCGGTTTGACAAACAAAAGGTTACTGCATGGTGGAATACGAGAGCATTGCATTTTAAATTGAAATGCCCGGGTGCGGCATAAAAACACGAATTTATGGATCTCTTAAAAACGTCTCTGTCTGGCAATGCGAAATAGTGCAACATTTAAAAAGTGCTATTCAAACACAAAGCTATCCCTTGTGCTGATTATTTTTCCAAACGAGCTCTTAAAAAACAACGACTGAAAAAATGGCGAACGCCTAATTGGCTGGACAAATGTCAAGTGCCAAGTGGAACCCACTGTGCACAGTGGCCAAACAATAGAGCCATGTTTCCTGACACTTGAGAAACTGCAACTGTGGCAAAACCAACAGAGATGGCGGAACGTTTAAACGGCACAAATTCCACTGCCTTCCGATTTGTGTACGTGTCTGCCGGGGTTTTCTGGGGGAAAAGGGGTGGAAAAATGTGGCCCGGTTGCAGCCACTCTGGTTTATTTTTGTTGGCCAACTAAATCGTCAACGTCAACATTGTCGTAGACCGTGTTGACATTTAGCCTTGCAGTGCCACCGCTGCAAGGGAAAACAAACACAGGACAATAGGAACGGAAGCCATATCCTGCAATTCCGAAGGAAGCCCCTTAGGCGTTGATATAATATTCCCGCTTCTTCTGGCATTTCTCATACGCAATGTAGCACAGGGCGATGGTGATGAGGACCAGTATGGTAATCCCCATTATGATGCTGACCAGGATAATCTCGTCGTTGATGTCCTTGTACGAGTGACCTGCAAAAAGCAAAAGAATGATAACGATTTAGAGGCCTCGCTGACAAATTACAGGCAATTATTCTTGTCAGGTGGGAGAATGGGTGGGAAAAAAGGTTATTCCCTGGCCGTTGTTTGCCAATCAACATTTCTGGTTTTAAGAGCTCCAGGCGCATATTCAAACAACATGAAAGACAAAAAAAATTTAGACGGACCATGACAAATGCATTGTTGTAAAGAATAAATGAATACCATATGCCAGAAGCAATCTGGATAGCAACCCACGCACACACACAAAAGAGACATAAAAATTCGCCATAAACCAAAATAATATGAAAATTGGATTTGCAATTCGCATTTTCACAACAGCAGCTGTTCCAATATTTTACGATCTCGCTACATATGGAGTGGATTATTAACGCAATTATCTGCACGACAATATTTATGAAACGCTTGCATGTGGGATTAAGTTTTAAGTTTGATTTACGTTATAATTAAACAAGACAAGTTGGCTTAACGATTTGTCAACAACAAAAAATAATGAAAAATGGAAATGTGTTTAAATTTTTATAGGTATAATTTACTCCACTGGGCGCAGATATTGGTTTTCAAAAATTATTTTATGTAAATTACATTTATTTTATATTTTTTGTAAAGGAAAAACCAAATATATGAGTGGTAAATTTGTTAAAATTTAATTTATTTAAATATTTTACCCTATTTAACATGAACTTTATATATATTTTAATTAAAAACGCTTTATAAAATTATTATCAATGCAATTAAATAACATTTTTAAGGAATACCCCGCACAATCATATAAATTCACAACTCGCACAATTAAATTTAATTTCTTGTTTAAAAAAATTGCATTGCGGTTAAATGAATTGCAATGCCATTAACGTTAAGAGATTTGGCTTTAATTATGTGCCATTTGCAAGTTTAAAACGTTCATTTAAAACGCGGTTGGTCGAGTTTTAATTTGCCGTAACCAAAACCATTTCCACACTCCCAACTTTTTGCGAATAGGCTCTCATTGTTCGGCTCCATTTAGGCCAGATGTTTGCTTTATGGGTAATTTAACACATAATCGATGCCGAGCATTCCCATTCGCCTCAGCGCTCGACACACATCAAACAAATTAAAATCTTGTTTACAGGCAGCCAAAGCGACGCCATCACAGATTTGTTAATTAGAAGGTTCGTATTACGAAGGCTCAAAGCCCAATGGCCCATTGCCAAAGCTATGGTTCACCATAAATCTCTTTATATATGTAGTACGTTTATATAAAATATATGCATGGCCTGCCATACGAGTGCCATTGCGGTTAATGTGCCTGATTGTCGGCATTGAGGCGTTGAGTGTTCTTCATGGTTCACAGTTCACGGTCACTCGGCCCAGATAAATAGGCAATCATTTCGATTGTTTTCCCATAGCCAAAAGCCTCACCTGCTGTGCAGGCCATAAAATTCAACTGGATGCCGAAAATTTACAAAATTGTGAAAGATAGAAAAAGATTTATGGCAGATTTTTATTCCCAGGCCATAGTAATGTTAGATACTTAAATTCCTGAAAATACAGAATGCTACTAGAAATAGTTGCTAAACGAAATATGATGGCTGGATGAATAACAAACGAGGATTCCCATTTAAAATTTGATTTTAATTTTTTCATTATAAATAAACTGATAAGCTGATAATTTATATATTCAAATGTATATTTAAAAATATTCATTAATTGTATAATTTCACATTTTTGGGTGAGCAAAATCCAGATCATAAAGAAAATAAGTAAAATAAGCCGATTGTGTAGACAGCAAATTAATTTTAAAAAGAACGGATATTAAATTGAATATAGTGAAAACCGATAGCATCATTTTATTTGATTATAAGCAATATCTTAAATTAAATTTAAATTTAAATTATAGCATATCTTATGCAAATTTATATTCTGAACAGCTTGTAATAGAATTTTGATTGATGACAATGGCCACTTTTTTCGATTAGTTAAAAATTAAAATACTCAGAATCTGTCAAACCACAGGATTTTTGTTAGTTTTTAAATGTGTTTGCTAAGTCATGGATAATGGGAGTCTCACAAGAGTTTCAGTGCTATAATATACCAATTAAGAAGAACTTTGAACCGACAATTGTACCATTACCCACTTTGGACATTCTGCAAAAAGTTTTCCATGGATTCAAGTGCGGTCAAAGTTTTGCGGCTTTTGCTATGTGCACACTTCTTGGAGATTGTTCAGCCATTTGTAAGTTTTCTTTCAAGACCACGAATTTGCGGTTGCTTAAATCATCAAAAGCGCAACAAAAGTTTGGCACATCAAATAATAATTCATGGGGATGCCTATCCGGAATGGCTGACAAAGTTCAGGCTGTCAAAACGTAAGTTATGATTGCGTGAAATATGCAAAGCGAATGCAAGAGGCAAACGCCTCTTCCGCAAATTGAAATACGTAATGGAAACTGTCGGAGCCCGTGGGCAAAAACTGGGCTAAACTGAGCGTAAATTATTAAGGTTCACGAGTGGATGAACCTAACCGTTTTCGGGGCTCCAGCCAAGGACACATGTCCTGCCAGCCGATATGTATTAAATTTCATTAATTGTTTTCTTCCCAACCGAAAATATAGTCAATAAAGTCATTTGACAGATTATGTGAATAGACAGAATACAAAAAAAGTACAAAAGTAAGGGTCTCACAATCATCTAGCATTATGTAATATCCTCTGGCAAATGTGCGTGCGTGCGAATGTGTGCGTCCTGTTTGTCCTGTCTCTGACATCTTCCGAAATGTTTTGTGGCCACAAGGATTTGGCCAACATTAAGGAATTTCATTTGGGCCAGATTGAAGCAGAACTTCTCGAACACTCAAACAAGGATACGACCGCTGGAAGTAAATATTTAATGGTACACCGAGAAAACAACACTGTTATATTGACTTCTATATAATTTATTGTATGAGAGTTGGGTTTTAAATCGAAAAGAATTTACTGGCACCGAAATCTTTCATAGGTTTTTCTCCAAGTGACAAAGAAATAATCGTGTTTGATTTTAAATCTTCTTTGTTTTTAGAATATAATAAATTCTCTGGTGTAATAATGGTCGGTATAATTTTCTCAGTGTATCTTTCTTTAATTTCAATTTGACCTTCTCGGATTGTAGAACTGTGAGGGTTTGAGAGGAAATTATCAATTAGGTGACATCAAAGTGTGTTCAGATTTAAATTTCCCTCTGTGAATTGACGCTGATTGTCGGCGGGCGACCTTTAACTGCCAGGACACTAAAAGAGCATCGAAGACGTTTGCAATGAAAATGAAAGAATAACTCAGTGCTCCCTGCTCCGTATATCACAATACTTTTCCGCACATATACTAACCAGGTTTTAGGACCGAAATTTTTACCAGACCAACTGTTTGGAGGTGTGAAAAGCAAGCAAGATGGCAGAGCCAGAGTAAAGTGAAAAGTGAAAAGTAGCCCAATGAGCTGTCTGAATTATATCACGATTTCCTTAGGCCAAGGAAGTTCGGCCTCCTTCGCTGCTGTAAGTTCCACTGGCGAGGAAAGGCCTGCATAATTATACCAATAATTACGTTGCCGATCTTGATTATGGGTTTCGAATACGACATGGCGGTGAGTTACCATTTATATCCCTCGGAAGTGCCCAACCATAAATCTAATTAATGTGCCAGGAGTACAAGTGTCTCTATCTCATCGCCACCATGGCTCTCCTGTGGATTACGGAAACCCTACCGATCTACATTACTGCCTTGTTACCTATTGTCTATTGCCCAGTTTTTGGCCTTGTGGTGAGTCGAAATATATCCATTAGTAAGGAAATCCAACTGGTTTTACACCTTTTAATGGAATTTCACAGTCAACTTTCTTGATGATACAACATTCAAAAAATTGAATATATAAATGTATAAAAAACAGCTATATGGGATTTCTGAAACAAAATAATATTTAGTCAACTTTTTTTTAGAGTGCCGATATAGTGTGTCGACTGTACTTCTCCGACACCATTGTCATGTTCCTGGGCGGTCTTATTGTGGCCTTGAGTATAGAGTATTGCAATCTCCACACCAGAATCGCCCTGAGAGTTATCCGGATTATCGGTGGAAGTCCAAGGCGGTGAGCATTATTTCTCTTTGTCCGCTTAAAGCACCTTTGTTTATATTTATTTTAAAGCTTAAAATATATGTATTTTAAACAAAAACAAAAAAAAAACACAAAAAACTAATAAAAAAGAGCACACCCAAGACATGGACCACGGGAGAAGGAATGACCAGGCAAGCGTAATGGTTTGGGCGTTAGAGTGGGCGTGGCAAACTTTATTAGGCCAATCGATAGGTATGACGAAACAAATACATATCAATACAATTTTATAATATCATCAAAACGTGGCCACAGCTGGCTGGGGCGCAGAGGGGCGGGCACCATTTTGAAACAAACTTGCGCGCGAGGAACTCCTAAAACAACATCAAAAACAATCTTCTAGCTTTTATAGTTTCCGAGATCTCAGCGTTCATACGGACGGACAGACAGACGGACAGACGGACAGACGGACATGGCTATATCGACTCGGCTAGTGACCTGATCAAGAATATATATACTATATAGGGTCTGAAACGCTTCCTTCTACCGGTTACATACTTTTGCACGAATACAAAGGGTATAATGATGAAATAAATATCAATATAATATTAAGTTTACATTTATTTTGTTAACTAATAAATTATTCTAAGTCATCTGTCTATGAAGTCTGTAGAATAATATTTTTGTCTTCTAGGTTATTTGTGGGTTTGGTGAGTGTAAGTGTTTTCATGGGATTGTGGATATCGAACTCAGCTGGAACAGCCATGATGTGCCCCATTGTGAAAGGGGTTGTCAATGAATTGGAAGCCGTAAGTAATGCCTTTATTAAATATCACTCTGTTACCACTCCCATCTATTTGCAGAACAATATATATCCAGTATATATGACGCAAGAGGAGGAGCCTGTAGAGGAAGGCGAGTAAGTTAAGGCGATTTTATGATCTCTAGATATGTTTTTATCTGCATATCGCCTGCAGACCACCCCATCCGTCCAAGGTTACTATTGCCCTATATGTGGGCGTGGCCTACGCCGCCACAATTGGCGGACTGGGAACTTTGATTGGAACCGGCACGAACCTAGTCTTTAAGGGAATATACGAGCAGTAAGATGGCAAGTTTAAGTAGGAAAAAAAATAAGATTATTTCCGCAGGCGATTCCCAACATCCACCGAAGAGATCACGTTTGCCAACTTCATGGTATACTCGATCCCAATAATGGTGGTATGCAACATAACGCTGGTGATGATCGCTATGTTGACGACCCACATGGGCTTGTTTCGACCCAATAGCAAGACGGGCATGCTCATCAAGGAGGCCAACACGAACCGGAAATTGTTGGAGGATGTTTTGCGACAGCGTCATATGGACTTGGGTCCAATGAGCTGTCACGAGATCCAAGTATCCATTTTCTTTGCTCTTATGATCATTATCCTTTTTACTCGCAGACCAGGCTTCTTTCCAGGATGGAGCTTATTTCTGAATGCCGTGTAGGTAACCGTTTACACAGATGCAAAAAGTATTATTCTGAAGTCAACAGTTCCAACATTTATGAGTTTATATATGCAACTAAGATCGTACCTTATTAAGATAAATTAATAGGAGGGTTTTATAATAATATTACTCATATGTTATATTTCGTAAGAAGTTGGCACATTTATTTATCCACTGATTGCAAAGATTATTTGCTGTTTAATTTCTTTTATCCATTCTAGGCCAATAGGAAGTTCAGCTGGATTGTTCGTTATCATTCTTCTTCTATTTGCTCTGCCTACCCAATATGTGTTCTTCAGATACTGTTGTGGCCAACGTGAGTTTCTCTAGTCCACAAGCAAATCAGATATAATAAAACACCCTAAATTACAGCTCCTTTTCCCGGCCAGGCACTAGATGCGCTGTTATCCTGGCGTTTTGTGCACCAGAACATAGCCTGGGGTCTGCTGTTTCTGCTGGGTGGGTTTCTTAGATTTGTTAGTCTCATGGACAGCATTATCCTTATTATTCCTTGGACCGAACTTATTATTTCAGGTGGCGGCTTTGCCTTGGCCGAGGCCAGCAGTCGTAGTGGAGTTAACGTAATGGTGGCCAGGGCGATGCAAGTCCTTATCGGAAGTCCATCAATTGTGGTGCAGCTATTCACGGTCTTACTAAGTATGTTTTTCTCAACGTTTAACTCGAACGTGGTCATTGCGAACATTCTTATACCGATTTTATGTGAAATGGTGAGATACATGTTTATCAGTTTACACATACTAATCCATATTCCTATACAGGCCCTCGTTCTGGAAATTCATCCTTTGATTCTGACTCTGCCATCTTGTTTGTGCATCAGTATGTGCTATTTTCTGCCAGTTAGCACGCCGCCAAATGCAATTGTTTGCAATTATGCCAACATCAAGACCAAATACTTTGTGAGTGGAGCATTTACAGATAATCGAGACATTCACTTTAAGCCATTTATTTTTATAGGCCTTTTGCGGCCTTCTACCCACCATTATCGGATATTGGTTGACTATTTTAAACACAAACACTTGGGGAATGTTAATATTTTCGGAAACCAATAAATTTCCGGATTGGGCAAAGGAAATTAAGAACCAGAGTAACATCTGATCAAGCAAAGCTTCCTTTGTAAAATTAACAAGTTTACTAAATTAAAAATTTCAAATAAAATCATTAAAGAATTTGGTTTATTTTATTTGTTTTATTTAAGTAAATTTAGAATTAGGGAAAGCTTGCTAAGATTTGTAAGTCAGACCACAAAAAATTCAGACTATATTCAGTTCAAGAGTGAGCCATGAGACATTTGTTATTAAAAACTATATATACTTTACAAAAGTGGTAGGATCCACAAACAAAATGGCCGAGTAAGATTTTTTAAAACCAATTAGCAATGACTAGCTGACCTAAGATCGCGTATTGCAGTGATGATAAAATCAGCGGGGGCCGGGCGATAAAGAGTTGTTGCGGTTTCCATTGGAGGGGAAAAGCGACCATCATAATACCCATCATTACGTTGCCGCTGATGGTATATGGATATATGGAGAATGACTTAGTAAGTAAAATAGGCAATTTCCCAGAGTGATTAAATTCATTTCCCGATCTAAAGGCTTGGTTATGCATGTACCTGGTGGCCAATATGGCGCTCTTCTGGATTACCGAGGCCATTCCCCTTTATCTGACCGCTCTGTTCCCTGTTGTTTTTCTGCCGATTTTCGGGATTTTGGTAAGTGTTAGTGAAGAAAATGTTGTGAGTTAGCTTTTTTCACGTAAACTAGATTTTGCACGTTTACTAAATTTTCGCATTTAAAGTCTTCTTCCTTTTGCAGGTATTAAATGATTCGGCAGGATCATATATAAAGAATCGAAAAACTAATTGAACTAATTGAATTGAGTTGAAATTGTTTATTTTCAAACATTTACGAAAGTATTTCGAGATATAGCAATTTTTTACAACTTCAGAAATACGTTTTTATTATTATAAAAGATTTAAAAGTTAATTTGTAAATCGACATAGCTGCATTGCCTTTTCACAAATTTTAATATAGACTATATATCATTTTAAAAATGTTTTTACTATTATTTACTATTACTAGTAACTAATACAAAATAAGTAATCTGTATCGCTGACAAATTTAGATGTACACTATTTTAATTGATGACCAAATATTTTTTTAACCAATATATCCATTTAAAATGTAATCGCTTTACTTTTCATAGTCCTCGGAAAAGGTGTGCAGTTTCTACTTCAGCGACACCGTGGTGATGTTTCTTGGAGGCTTGTTGATCGCTTTGGCCATCGAATACAGTAATCTCCATCAGCGCATCGCCCTAACCACCATCCTCATAGTGGGCTGCAGTCCAAGGCGGTAAGTCTCAGTCCAAAACTGGCTAAATATTTAAGATCGGTCCCAACAGATTGCACTTTGGTTTGGTCATGGTGACCTGCTTTATATCGCTTTGGATTTCGAATTCGGCAGCCACCGCCATGATGTGTCCCATAGTCAAGGCCGTGCTCAACGAAATGGAAGCGGTAAGATATTTTTAAGCCCGTTTCTTGCAGTGAAAAAGGGTATATTGTATTCGTTGAAAAGTATTTGAAAAGTATTTAAAAAATAAATATTTCACAATTCATAAAGATGCAACATGGTCAATGACGTTAATGCCAGATTAGACATTATCGTTTTTTTTTTTCTTCTCATTTGTTTTTAAATTAATTTGATAGTCGGGCACGTTGGTCAAAATTATTAAATTAATATGACAAATATTATAAAATTTTGTTTCTATTTTTAGCAAAATATTTTTGTAATTTATAAGACACAGGAAGAGGAGCCGGTGGAGCCGGGCGAGTATGTTTCAAGTTTTATTGGAGAGGGATGTATTATCCTTTTCCTTTCAGCCCTCCGCACCCATCTAGCATTTCGATGGCCTTTTACTTTGGCATCGCGTATGCCTCGTCGATCGGCGGCTGTGGAACCCTGATCGGAACTGGAACGAATCTGACCTATAAGGGCCTATATGATACGTAAGAATGGGTTGATATTGGCATCGAAACACCATTACATGGATCCTTCTTAGGCGCTTTCCGGATTCCGAGGAGAAGATCGACTTCCCCATTTTCATGGCGTACGCCATTCCATTTGTGGTCGTCCTGCTCATCATTCTCACCTACCTCTCGCTGCAAATCACCCACATGGGTCTCTTCCGGCCCAACAGCAAGGTGGGCCAGGAGGTGAAGAAGGGTTCCGAGGGCAAGGACGTGGTCACGACCGTGATCAAGGAGCGCAAGAAGGCGCTGGGACCCATGAGCTGCCATGAGATCCAAGTGGGTCTGCTCTTTATTCTGATGATTTTCCTGCTTTTCACTCGCAGGCCGGGGTTCTTTACCGGCTGGGCTGATTTTTTGAATGCTCAGTGAGTTTTCCTCTTCAATTTTGAGTCCTATTCAATCCCTCCTTAATTCAATCAACCATAGAAAAATTGGCAGTGGCCCGCCGGTATTCTTCTCGACCATGCTACTCTTCGCCCTGCCCACTCAGTATACATTTTTTAAGTACTGCTGCGGAAAGGCTCCGTTTCCAGGACAAACACTGGATGCCTGCCTTTCCTGGGTGTACTGTCATAAATATACGCCCTTTGGTCTATGCTTTCTACTGGGTATGTAGCTTTCTTATTTCCACAATACTGTTTTCAAAAGAAAGGAGTATTATTTATGGGGGGAATATTTTATAACTTTATATTATTTCTTTGGCAGGTGGGGGATTTGCCTTGGCCGAGGGCAGCCGTGTTAGCGGAATGGCCAAAATGTTGGGCGAGTCTTTGTCATTCGCGGAAGAGTTGAACGTCGTCCTGGTTGTGGCTATGTGCATTGCTATTTCACTATTTTGCACCGCCTTCGCATCCAACGTGGCCATCTGCAACATTCTAATTCCGATATTTTCGGAAATGGTAGGTGGCTTGCACTTTAAATATATATACCAATTATATTAATAATTATTTTGCACTGTAGGCCCTGGCCATCAAAGTGCATCCCATCACTTTGACTTTTCCGTCTGCTTTGGCCTGCAGCTTGGCTTTTCATCTGCCCGTTAGCACTCCACCAAATGCCATTATATCCGGCTATACGGGTCTGAAAACCAAGTACATGGCCGTTGCCGGCATTTTGCCAACCTTTTGGGCCTTCTTCTGTTTGCTACTCACCGGAGCCGTGTGGACAATGGTGATCTATCCGGGGACCAAGGAATTCCCGGAATGGGCTACCTAGACGAAAAGCAGGAGCTACTAATTTTAAAATATAAAAAACCGGTATATATTCTTATGTCAAGTATGCATTTTTAGCAAGCCTCTGAGGTACAAGGTATGTTTTTAAAAACCTCAAAGATTAGACGTATAAGTTTACCACTAAAAACATAACTTCTTTTCCGCTCAAATGATTTTTATCCAGACGTATTAGAAAAAAATCAAGATGGAATGTATATAAAATTTCCGGTATCTCCAATAATATTTCTGTCAAATCAAAATACCTTTTAAGTAATAAGAATGGCTTTTTTGCTTTGACAGCAATTTTGTTGAGTTGAATGCCGAGCCTTGCAAAATGTAAGCACCACTCATCTTAAATTTTGCCAATTGTCCTTAAATAAATTCTGGTTTCAGTTCTAGGTGACAGCACAGTTGATGGTCTTTTATGTGAAGCTTATTCAGTTTCTTGTTTGATGACCAATAAATACATAACGCACAATTTGTGGCAATAAAAACTACGGCGAACTTCTTACAAAGTACAAAAACCATCTCAATGGCTAAATGAAAACTTGGTATGGGCGGAAATCTAGTCGACGGGTGGGCGTTTTGAGGGCGTTCAAACTTACTTAGCAGACATTTTTTTACCGGAGGAAAACCAAAAGCAAACTTTATGCAAACACAGCAAGAAGTCCTTCGGCTGGTCTTTTATTCAAACTCATTCACATTCGCAGCGTTAAGGTGAGATAAAATCAAGCCAAACATCATTACTCCGGGCAACTGAATTATATTGCTTTCATGCGTGAATGATATGTGGAGCAAGCGAGTAACCATTTATAGCTCACAAATCCCCAGCCGAGACACGCATAAACAAATAATGTACAAGCACAGGAAAATTCCAATGCGAGTACTACTCATGTGTATAAGAAACGCACCAAAATAAATGTAATAAAAACCCTGACAAGCGGAATATACATACGTAATCAAGACACGAATAAAAACACGCTTTTCAACACTGATTACGGTGAGGCATGCGGCAGGACTTCATCAGCAGGACGACGCCATTGGGGGGCCAACATAAGCCCGCCAAATGGGCGACAGTGCGAACGATAAACCACCCATCTGCCACCCCAAAATGCCTGCAGGGAATGTATTATACAGTGGTTAGGGGTTGAAATAACAATGAGGCTTGTCATTTATTCATATTCCCTTAATAATGACAGATTCAATAACCATAATTTTTATTATTTAGACATTTACTTCAGCTCGTTTCGGAACTCTGTCTGGCATTCAGAAAGGTAAATAAATGTAATAAATTATTTATAAACACATATTAATAACAATAGCTCTCAGTAAAAGTATTCTACATTATTCAAAGCTTTTCAGCAATGTATTATTTAAAAGGTTTTCAGGGCACACTGGTGAAAGGCAGAGTTCTTGTGAAAGGCAAATACAAAATATTTATTTTTTGTTGGGCTGAAAAAAATATATCCAGTTCTAGGAATTAATATCAAATATTTTCTGGATTATATTTATTGTCACGGTTTTCCAGGAATTTTTTTCTTATAAAATTACAAATTAAATGTATTAAATATGATTATTAAATTGATCCCTAGATAATTATAATTAATTTGTTTTCTGCGTTTTGAATTGCATTTAATCTATTGCATTTAAATTTATTTTCTTGTAGAAATAAAATAAAAAATCCAATCTGATTACCCCACGGATAGTGTGAGGTTGAAGTCACATCTACGAAGTATAAAAATATGACCGTCATAGAGCACTTAATAATGTATCAATCTTATCTGGATTTCTCCATCACTGTCCGCATTATGTCCATCTACTCACCACTGTAATAATTGTTGTCCGAATAACCGTATTTGCCGGCTGTCCTGCCCCCGCCGGCCATCTTTATAGATTGCTTTGTATCCTTGGCTCGTGTTGATACTTCCTGCTGCCCTAAGCCGGTGTTGTTCTTGTTAGTTAGTTGTTAGGGCTGTCGCTGCCACTCCGGGACCATAAAACACTCAAAGCTGAATGGTCTGTTGATCGGCTTTCGGCTGTGCTACAGTTCCTCCTTCTGCTGCTGCTGCTTCGGATGCTTCCGGGAAAAGAACTGACAGGAAGAAGCGGAAAGGAATGCAAATAAAATCTCAGTAAATCCAGACCAACAAATTGTTAATGACTCTGTCAGAAGCATAATGAACTTGGGTACGAAGCAGAAATCAGAAATCACACGCACAAAGAGGCAATGTATGCCGACGGCATCCGAAACAGGATATGGAAATAAGTCATAAAGTGTTCTGACTTTTGCCAAGACCAAAAACATAAAAGACTAAACAATTATAAGTATAAGAAATTAATTTCAAAACAATGATTTTTAAGATATTTATTTTAAATAAATGATAAGCAATGTTTAAATAAATTTAGATAAAATACTGAAAAGATATACTAAATGTATAAAAAAAAGTTTAAATTTCAAACTTAAACATTCAGTGTCAAGCATAGTCAACGTTGCGCATACTTGATATTGAATTTAAATTTTGCCAAAGAAAAAAATCTTTAATCTAATTAAATCTAGGTACTAGCCCATTAAAACATGCAAATTAAATCTGTTTTTCCTTGTTCGGATTTAATAAAATCCATTTTTGAGAACACGCTAGCTAAACCGCTTCTCACGTTACGTATACGCAATGTCAGCATGTTTTAATTATAGCAAACACCCAAACAGATGAGCTCGCCTCGTCTGGTCGTGTAATTATGCATATAATTAATATGCAAGTACTTATTTAATATTAACCAAATTGCTGCCACTCGAAGCGTGTCGCCAGGAGCAACATCAGGACCAACCATTGAGTTTCACTCCCCATGGCAACAATAAATTGCGTTCAATTTGTGTAATTAGTGTAAGAAGCTTTGGAAGGCAAAGGTGTATGGGCATGAGTGTGTGCGATTGTGTGTTAGTGGGCTGGGCCAATTTACAGACATAAATTGTTTCCCAGCTTAGAGAAAGCAATTTGGAAATTGCATGCACAGGGATCACAGGAGGGTTAAAGGTGGCGGCTGCTGTGGTTTATGCCTGATGCATTTCTCTAGTTAGTCAGCTCCATTTACTGCGCCAGGGGCCCTCAGTCTGGTACAACGGGGCGGATTGGGCCAAATGAGCTCTGCGATTTGCCATGGCAAGTGAGTACATTGCAATTTGCTGACGATAAATTCCGAGCCAAAATCAGAGCTTAGCACAAATTGGTTTTCCTTTGTTGGGTATGCAAAGTGTGGCTATAACTTAATTAAAACTTAGCGAAAGCTGTTGGAATCAAGTTGCAGAACTGTGTTATCGGATAACTTAAAATGCTGTTAAACCAGAACAATTAGTTTTCAACAAATTTTGTGCGACATAATAAACCAAAAAATATTCAGTAAAAAGATCAAGGTTTATTCAATTAAAGTCCCCAAAACCAAAAAAAAGTTTTCAATTCATTATTTGCATATTTATCACTCATATGTCCACAGGCGCTAAGATAATTAAATGAGAATTAAGAAGTTTTCGATTAATTTCGTAAAATGTAAATTAATTTTGTGAAACCCCATCTGATACACTCAGGTTTCCACAAGCAACTTATCTAATAATACATCATCAATCAGGGCAAGTTTGGTTGTCTAGCTAAATAGCTGAGAAATTTTGAAGGGAGTCCAACTTCTGGGATAGCTTATCTGTGCACAATATCACATCGCTCACTTAGAAACAATCTATTTACGGCTGAGCTATTAGATTCCTGCCAATCGACACGAACTTTTGTGTGGAAAACTTTTCTCTGGCCTAAAGCAATTTATCGGCTCCTACGCACAGCAATATTTGGTAACCGTAGAGTTATTCAAATAAAAATGAGCATCTTTTTGCATATTTTGGGTGGACACAATTTGATTATGAGCTAAAGTTTTTACTGGATCAGTTTTAAAAATTTCTTGCACGTACTGCGTGCAAACTCAATTACACGTTCAAAAAGCAATTCCTCTTGCGCCCCCAACAACAGATCCTGGTCCTCCTGTTGAGAAAGGTGGCAAACAAATAATAATAGAAGTTTTTCGCTCTGCGCTTGTGTGTTTTGTATTTTCTATTGTGATGTTGTTCCACACTAAGAAGAAAATAGGTAAGATAAACTGGGCCCTAAAATGTCATGATTCTGTGTTATTTACTTTTTTAATTAACATTTTTTAATCAAATCAAATAAACAAAAAAGAGGGAATATATATTGCTATTTCCAAAAAAATGGCGGTAGAGGACGCCTATGTTGTTAAATAACTTTTAAAGGTTTTTAAAAAAATGAGATAACTAGAAAGTTGGCCAAAAATAAGTATCGTGTTCTATTTATATCAATCTGGAGGCATTGCTTCCATATTTTATGTTAATGTGAAATTGCTTTTGCAGCAAAAAGTCGATAGTTGCTTTCAAACTCTCACCACCAAATGAGAAACATTACTTCTGCTTTCGTTTATATTACTTTTGCTTTGCAGTCAGCTTCCAAAATTTACTTTGCAACAGCATAATCAAAGCAACAAATGTAATGCTTTTAAAGTTATTTTGAGCCCTCACCCCTCAATAATATTTTATTTAAAGTAGTCACTGACAAGACTAAAAGAAACATTAAACAAAAATAAAATTATTTAAAATATCTATTGACAGGCTCTTTATAAGAACAAAGCCTCTTAGCATTTGATTTTTATTGCTTATTTGGTAGAACATCTTTCTCAGTAAACGAATACTTTTATTGTTGTTTAATGTCTGTTTTTCCTTAAGTGTAGTTGCAGCTGTTGAGATAGAAGCCAAGGAAAGGAGACCGCAGTCTAAGTGAGAACATATGTTGGACAGCAGATACACACCAGCGTGTAAGAAATAATAGGAGTAGGATAAGGTCGGAATGGGGGAGATATGGAAAGGGCAAAGGGATGAAAATGGGAGCTTGGAGGCTGTCCAAATTGATGGCTTCCATGTCGGGTCCCAATAGGATCCGCCGTTCCTGGCTCTGACCTCCTGAAAAGCCAAGTGATGACCGAAAATAGCACTAAAATTGTCGCCTCTGTTTCTCTGCATTTTGTCAGGCGCTCTCTATCTGTGTGTGGTTTTACTGGTGTGTGTGTGCTTATGGTGGCTTTTCTGTGTGTGTGGTGACGGTTTGGCAGCTGTATGTGTATGGAGTACGCCACATCCTGTTTCCTGGGCATGGCATGTGCGCACGAGTGCCATTGTCTAAATTATTTGGGTGGCGTACATTTTCCGTTGAATTTGCGTGCCCTGTCCACGGATCCTACTTCTCGCCCAGCACTTTCCCGAGAGCTCCCTGATGGCTTCTGATGGGGCACTCGGCGCCCGAAAAACAATACATCAATTTGCTCGTATGCACGTGGCCCGGGCGTTTGTCAAGGCAAGTGATTCCTCATGATTGGCCTAATTGTCAGTCAGGTCACAAACACCCACACCTCCTACTACTGTGAATGGGAACCCGATTCGGTCTTTCCATTTTCCCTTCTCATTTGAAGTAGTTACACACTTATTTGAGTTGGTTATGTGGGTTATGGGCTGGACTTTTAACAGCTACAGCTGCTCCAGACATTTTAAAATTCAATAAAAGTGTATAAAAAAAAAAAACTTTAATTATTAACCCACAAACAAAAATCATTTGGTTAAACTTTTCTTCTTATTTTACAAGTTTGTTTTATTATAAAATGAATAGAATGTTATTATTATTATGTTAAAAATATATATAAAAAAAATCTTTAGTCAATCTTAACGGTTCCCAAACTAATTATTTTAGTTATGCATAAGGATTACAATAATGAGTATAATTGAGGCTTATAGTCTTCTTCGCTTAAAAATCAATGTTTCTAAATATATTTTACTCTTCATAAAAATGGCATTTAAAACTAGTCAGATTTTTGAGTATCACAGCAACATAATAAAGCTTTGCATGAAACTGAATTTAATAAAATGTGTCAACACTGCGTATACGTGATAAGCGTATAACTAAGGTCAACCCCAGCACGCACGTGTGGGGTGAGTCATGTTCCAGGTACAATATGTACATAGAGCTAATTGATGTGCTAATGGATGCTTTATTTTAGAACAGCTCTTATTTATACTGTGTCGATGCCATTTAATTGGAAAATGGCTGCAACAGTTTCAAGTTGGTTTCAATATACTCTTCCTAAGCAACGTATATTGGTATATTAGTGAAGGCGTTTTTAACTTTAATTACACTATACAGAATTTAAGACTGACAGAAATTTACTTCAAACTTTAGAGACTTCAAACGAAGAAAGTTTTCCATGAAGCGACATAACTTTGACTAATAAACTGATTTTCTTCTTCAAGCTGATGAATCGTTCTTTCCTGAGATTCGCAAATAAATGACAACTTTCTTATTTTACTTTTCTTATTTTGGCTTTTATTGATTTTTCGTTCACTTTATTGGAATTTTTCTCTGTAACGTCTTTCCAAACAAATCTGTTTTCTTATTTTCTCATTCAACTGCAAAGGTAAACACTTTTATTTACCTATCGGATTTGGCCACCTCAGTAAACAATATTTTTAGCCACCTGGGATTTGGTTAGATGGTCGAAAAGGCTTTGCTCTAATTAGACTGGGGAAAACTTTCCGACCAAGATGTTTATTAATTGCACGTGTGTGGGCCACAAACTCAATTCGACCGGACTTTAATCAAACTTCCTAGCTTCACTCGTTTCGCATCTACTTTTCGAATTGCAATGAGGTTGCAATAAAATCGACGCGTTCAAAGTCTTAAACGGCTTTTGCTGGGGCTTTCCTTGCAAAATTGATAAATAAAAAGTAGTTCGAGTGCCTTAAGCACCGGAAAGCTTTTATTAAATGGAAATATTGCACAAGTCGGATGCATTTAATATGGGACAATGTGTTCCGCTCTCCATAAAAAATTAGTCTACATTAAGTGGGGAAAAAAGATCCTTATAAAAGATTTAACTAGAAAACGTTTAATAGTTAAAACCTGTTTTATGGCATCACAACACGGGAGATGGCTGTAGTTTATGTTCTAATGCAAATTTTAAGGGGAAAGCCAGCATGATTATCCTGTTTTTATTACCGTTTTATGTATTATTTAAAGTGCTTTTATATAAGAAAAGTTTAAGGTTTTAATACAGCAAAGCAAATAAATTTTCTTATAATGGGCTTTTTATATTCCAACTCTAAATTTATACACGGTGCTCACAGAGGAACATGCATATTTTATTGGTAAAAATGTTATGCTTTATATGCGATGGAAGCAGGGGAAATGCTTTTAAGGTATGGCATCGTATTTCATCGTATTGTTTTGTTAAAATGTCAATTATAATATAAATTTATTAAATTTAAATAGTTGCAAAAACTAGACTTTACGCGAACATCTTGATATAATTGAAAGCTTTTTTATGGCAGCACGATGCTGAAGTTTGCTAAAAGTTATATTATATTGGTCACAGATAATTTGATTTATTGTTTTTTAATGAAAATATTTGATGAGGTTAACCAGCTAATGCAACATGTATTAATTATCGTGATATACATTATTTTAAATGCGCGTATTTAAGTCTTTTTATTTATTTAACGCAAATATTCCTAACTGGTTGTTTTTGTACCTCCATATCTTATTGGTTTTTTAAAATTACCCAAGAACTATTTTAGAATAAGAAATCGTCTCTTTTATTAATTTAAAGTGAAGAATCTTGAGAGCTTGCTTAGCAACTAAGAAATAACTGCCGAGAATTTAAGTTACTTTGTAAGATCAAGTTCATTGCCTTTCGTTATAGAATCTTAAACAAATTGTAAATAAAGCCTTAGTAAAGAGAACCCAAACAAGAGCAGACATTATTTCTTTGAATCCTGGCATAAGTATGAGGAATACTTTGAAAGAGTAATAAAAGACTTTTTATGATAAGTTTTAAAACAATTCTGAGAAGACCCCAAAGCACTTTTTCAAAGTCCCATTTGATAATGAAACCTTAAAATTCAATAGCTAAATCATAATATGCAAATGATGGCCAGTGAAAACAAGGCTTAAATACTTTAAATAAGTTTAAAGCCCAGGGCCCGTGGCAGCATCGACAAACTTGATGGATGAATGGTAAGTGGGATACGGAGCGTGAACTTGATTCTCAACTGTGAAAAATGGAGTGCTGATGGAAGTGTAAAAATGCCAGCATGCAGTAAAACGACGGCCATAAAACAAGTCGTACAGTTGCTCATAAAAATGAATAAATGTGGTTCCAATACCACACCTGGGAACTTGACAGACGGCCAAGATCTGCTCGCGGTCTATAATTGAATTATATTGGCCATATGGCGGGGGGCTTACCATCAGCCTTTGTTGTCTGCCAACTGCCATCAAATGGCTAATTAAGATTTCAGTCCACTGGCAGTCGTCCAGCAGTTGGCCGCAAATCTCACGCCTTTTTAAATCCCTTTTTTTTGGAACCCGATTTTCCGACCCGTTGGTATATAAGACGTCCGGACAGCGGGCGACACAAAAGCGCGCGAAATTACACAAACAAACGGAGGAGGGTCAAAAAGAGGACTATCTCGCGCACACACGCAGTCACGCAAATACGGAGTAACCGAATCCGATTGGTCCGAGTAAATATGGCGCCAAACGAGTCGAGGATGTCGCCTTTTGGAGCCTCCGTTCGGTGAGGTTCTTTGTGTCCCACTAGCACATCTGCCTCATCTGACGGTGTTTGGTCTACTGATGAATGAACCGACCGAAGGATCCCAGGATGCGGAAAGTTCCCAGCATGCCGTGGACCAACAGCCGGAGAGCTTTTACTACGATGCGAGCTTTCACCCAAACCACTAAGCTAAAGTCCTGGGAAATTCGACGAATTAGCGATACCTATTAGTACTTAAATGACTATTATTAAAGTATAAATGTATTTACATTTATTTTACTGGATGCAAAGTAAATACAAAAGTATAAAAAGGTTTTTTGGATTCGCATCTGTAATTTAAAATTAATGCAAGAAAAGACAATATATATATATTTAAAATACTAATTAAAATGTCAGTTAAAGTTGTTTTTATAGACCCTCTTATCATATCTTTATTTGTAAGAAGTTTATTAAATGACAACAGTGAATAGCCAAAAAATGTTCCACTTTGAAATATAAAATGTTTTTACTTTTGATTTATTCCCAAATAAATATTTTTGTAGAATACAAACCGATGGAAAAGTACAAGCAGCAGGGGCATCAATTTTCGAAGGAAACTCTTAAGAGGAGGCGGTTAACAGGGCGGCGTGGTAGGCGATGTGCTCTCCGATAAAGGTGGCGATGTAGAAGTAGCTGTGATCGTAGCCCTCCCGCTGTTTGTAGATGGTTTGGATGTGGTCGTTGCCATCGGCGGCAGCCAGAAGGTTCTCTGGCAGCAGCTGCTTGGCAGCGAGGAAGTTGTCCGACGCACCCTGGTCGATGAACAGTTCCTGCGGCGTGCTCTCGTATTGCGACACCAGATGCGTGGCGTCCCACAGGGCCCAGTCAGCCGTATTGGAACCCAAGTAGCCTGCGAGGGCCTTCTGGCCCCACGGACACTCCGTGGGATTGGCTATCGGGGCGAAGGCCGACACCGACTGGTACAATCCGGGGTTCTTGAGGGCACAAATCAGTGCTCCATGGCCGCCCATGCTGTGACCGAAGATTCCCCGCCTGCCGGGAACCACGGGCAGATTGGCATTCACCACATCCACCAGCTCCTGCGTCACGTAGCTGTACATCTTGTAGTGTTTCGACCACGGCTCCTCTTTGGCATCCACATAAAAACCAGCACCACTGCCAAAATCGTAGGCATCATCCTGACCGGCGATTTCCACGCCCCTGGGCGAAGTGTCCGGATTCACGACGATCAGATTGTGCTTGGCGGCGTGCGCCTGGAAACCACTCTTCTGGATGAAGTTCTCGTGGCTGCAGGTGAGTCCGCTGAGGAAAAAGAGAACCGGACAAGGTTTGCCCTCCAGAGCAGCCGGTGGCAGGAAGACTCCGAAGGTCATGTCGCAGTCCAACGTGCCGGAGCGGTGGCGGTACACGCGCTGCTCGCCCTCGTAGCACTTCGCGGTGGAGACCTGTTCCAGCGTCATGTTCTGCGGGTTAAGTAATAATAATAATAAATAAATAAATAATACAAGAAATCAATCAAAAATATTTTAATTTACGTGTTTCAGCAAGTTCTAAAAATAAACGATAATAAACAGTGTGACCGTGTGCAGAGCGCCAAAAAAAAACGGTTTCTTTGGAGCTTTTAAAATATCGATAGTTTCGGATATTAATATGTTTGTTTTGGTAGATTATCACAAAATTTGTTTTCTTGTATTAATAAAATAAAGAATAATACACTATACAATAAAAATGAATCTGAATGTATTGTCAACGACTCAGGGCGAGCCATTTTTTATTATTGGATTTAATTTTAAACCACCGTAAAACTATTTTTGAATTCCCGCATATCGCAGAAAAATACCTACACTAATAACGATAGGCATAAAAACTCCCATCCCTAATCAAGAAGAAGAATAAGGTTAGTGAAATCTCTGTTGTTTGTTTTTAACTAAAATTAAAAGAAAAATACAACTAATTAAAAGCCGGATAATGTCAGAAGATGCGGCTAGCACCTCGGCCTTTGGCTTTAAAAAGCGCACTATAAATAAAGGAGCCGCAATGCGTCGTAAAAAAGAAAGCAGCAGCAGCAACGAATCAGGTAAGTACACAGACTTACCGCCAAAAAGGGAAATAGTTTTATATTTAAACGACTTTCAGCAAGGAGCAGCGATGAAGAGGTAAAAGGCAAAGCCAGTGCTTTAGTGCGAGCCGAAAACCGCAGGAAGCGCACGAACCCTAACTTTCAGAGCACCAAGACGTTGAACAAGGCGAAGCGGCAGGCTGGAGCACCCGATGAAGATGCCACATCCTCGGCCTCCGATGATGATAAACTGGGCATCGCCTACAAGTCCAAGCGCGAGGCGCTGCCCAGTGGTCCGCAGGATCAGGGAGCCACATCCATCAATGAAGTGGATACGGAATTGGACCGCGATGCACAGGCAATCCATGCTCGTGCCCTGAAAATCAACGAGGAACTCGAAGGCAAGGCGGACGATAAGAAATATCGCGGAATCAACAACTATGCGCAATACTACAAAAAACAAGATACGGCGGCGGGCAACGCAAGCTCCGGAATGGTTAGAAGTGGGCCAATTAGGGCACCTGCCCATCTCAGAGCCACGGTAAGGTGGGATTACCAGCCGGACATATGCAAGGACTACAAGGAAACGGGTTACTGCGGCTTTGGTGACAGTTGCAAATTTTTGCACGATCGCAGTGATTATAAAGCTGGCTGGCAATTGGAAATGGATCACGAGAACCAGCGGAGGGGAGATGGTGACTCTGATGGCGATGATGGCAAGTACGAGATTCATTCGGACGAGGAGACCCTGCCTTTCAAGTGCCACATCTGTCGACAGAGCTTCGTTAATCCCGTGGTAACGAAGTAAGTAGTATTGAGTATGAGTTTGTATTCAAATTCGATTGTGATTTCTTAGATTATCACTAGCAAATGAATCAAAATCAGAAACGTAATGTAAAAAACCTAAATTCCTTCCAGATGCAAACACTATTTCTGTGAAAAGTGCGCCCTGGCACAGTACAAAAAGTCACAGCGCTGCATCATCTGCTCCCAGCAAACAAATGGCATTTTCAATCCCGCCAAGGACCTGATTGCTCGCCTTAAGACGAATCCGATGGAGAACTCGGACAGCGATGACGAGGAGCTCGGAGCGAAGGACGTGAAAAGCGGCGAGGACGTGGAAACTCAGGAGATTTCCTCCGATGAAAGCGATTAAAATAAATTCAAAACCAACGGGTTCAGTTTCATATCCATAAGTTTGCGTAAGGCAACCGAATCTTTAGCAGGCAAGACAATGGTTATGTAGCTTGCTTCTGTTATTCACTGATAAAACTTTCATAGTTTTAGTGGTAAGAATATATTAAACTAATGTACATTAAATGTTTTCTACGTATTTTAAATGAAATTCAACTTACTATGAATTTTTTACAATTCCGTAAAAAATATTTATCCTCGTTTTTTACATGTAAAAAAATTGTAAAGTAAAGTATCATAAGAGATAGATGGCGTTTTAAGGACAAAAAGGACATGCCCGGGGCCTCACAAAAATCTCTATGGACATTCCATTTGTGTTTACATCTTTTGTAGATATCAAACCAAATTTGGTTGGAAGAAAGTTCTGTAACAGCAGGATTTTTCGACATATCCCCTGCATATTTTTTAAGGAAGTGACCTTGTACTCATAAATAAGTTTGTTTTAAAAGGCTAATTAATTGTGTGACTGAAATTGAATTACAAAAATGTCTGTCTCATTATGTGGAATTATATTAATTTATTTGTAAATTTGTTTCCCGAAAAATGTATTTTAAATGTTTGTTAGTCCTGTGTATAATTATGTCAAAATTAAATATAAAACAAGTGCGTTGAAAATCAGGTTTAAAAAAATATTATTTGTTAATACATGAAAATAGGTAATTTGTTTTATACAAAGCCGAAAGCCCACTTTATGTTAACTACTGTGTATCAGTTTCTAAACGGCTCAACACCTTTGGGTAATAATTTTTAGAAGCCTACTCACCTCAGTCATGATGTGGCCGAAACTAAGCACACCGTTGATTCGCTTAGGACGGTTTGCGAACGCGCCTATGGAGTATGCGAACGAACTTCTTCCAGTCACGCTTGGCAGACGAACCGAATATCTTCCCATGCCCAAAGGCCACTTAAAATGTTTACCTAGTGTTTATGTGAATAATGCCCAGGCAAGTTGGAATTTCGAAATACTGCTTGACGTTTAGCTTGAATGATCTACGGCCAACTCTGACCTTTCCTGCGGGGCATTCAGGGGGAAAACAATCAAAAAAACACAACATTGAAGTTGGGCGAGCTACTAAAACTAGCGTCTCCTTGGTGCGGCCAAAAGTCAAGCGCAATTTTATATCCATAATTCAATTGCCAGAACTTTCATTTCCGGTTTCGTTCGCATCAACAAACACAGGCACTAAAGAGAGTAAAAGAAGCAGGAGAAGAGAAACCGACAGGCAACTAAGGCAATTCTTGTACATAAGGGAATTCATTTGATTTTGGCCCGCTAAAATCAAAAATCTCCTGCCAAACTTCTAGGCCGCATTGTTCCACAGCACAAAGCAGAAATATTGGCCAATTGTAACGAATCGAAGCTTAGCCACAAATTCCAGAATCCGTTCCGGCTTCCATGTCGACCCTTTTCCCCAGTCCTGGGCATGCAAAATATGAGCACATAAGCTTCTAAGAACAAAGCAACTGGCCAGACTGAGCCGAAAAGTTAAAGCTTCCTTCTATGATCCGACCCACCGATGGTATTGTTGGCTGGCAACCAGGGAATTTGCTGGTACTCTGAAATTTTCGTTTGGGGAAAAGGCTTGGCAACAAGTTATAATTCTCAGTTTGCATTTTAGATCCACAGAATGTTTAGAAAACCTCGATTGTCAATTTGTATTTAATTAGTACCTTACTTATTATCTTTAGATAACACTTCAAAGACTTATTTATTCATATTCTAAAGGAGTCTCCTATATTAAAGAAATATATTATTATTATTTTTTTACTACAAATATTTAAAGCATGCATAAATATATGTATGTACATATATATAATGTTTAAATTATTGTTAATTAATTTTAAAGTATTATATTAACAAAAATTAAAAAAAAATAAATTTTAATTCAAAACAGTAAAACAGAAAAGTGCTAACAAGATTTAGTTCTTAAGTTGTAGCTAAATATACCAAAATAAATAAATTAAACTAAAACATATAGCTTATCAGGGTTTTCAACTAATTTGTTAGTCTGGAACATTATATTTTATCTTAGGCTATTTAAACAATTACATATTTCTATGGTTTTTGTTGCTGTAATTAAAACACAAAGCAGTCTTAGTACCGAAATTGAGGATTATTCCAGGGATAAAGATCACAGTACACCACTAAACATTGGCGCGCGTCTGGTAAGTCACGTTCGCGATTTCCCACATTTTATGTGCCACTCACTTATTGGCAGTGCAATGGTTAATTGAATGACAAAGTCGTGCATGATGAACGCAACTAAATTGAGAGGGCGGTAATGATTGTTTTGGCCAAAAGCTAAGGCGTCAATAAAAGGGGCGCCAAATCAGTTTTAATTATTTCCATAAATGCGAAAGTGAGCGGCATACGTGAGCCCTGAAATTTTATAGTTTCTGAAAGTGGCTTTGATTGCCAGAGCGCAATAAGCGAATTTGGAATCGGTTTGGTTTCAGGAGAAGGGTGGTTAATTTTTACGCCTAATTAGGAAGTGGAAATTTGTGTGCGGTTGTTCACACGATTGCCTTTCGGCCTCAATGTAATTAAGCGTTAAATGTGTTTGACGCCTTCATAAGTCGTCTGAATTTGATTCGTACGCCAAAGCGTTTACGCCAAGTGTTTACTTTATTATATTTTTGTTCTGCGTATAAGCATATATTTATTGAAATTTTGCCTAAATTACATTTTGTTTATTTTTGTTAGACGTAAATAATATAATATACAAAGTATTTTACTAGAGTGATGAGAGAGAGCTTTGAAAGGGTAACTTAAGAAGATAATAGCATTTGAAGCTTGAATTGTATTCGTATTATCGTATTTTAATTTTTTTTTTAATGTTTTGCAAACAAGACTACTTTCCGTTTTTCTAATTTTTCAGATAATTTTCTTTGTGTATATTTGTATGTATAATGGCAGCTCTTTGCACGTTTTGCTGGGCTGCACGCTGTTTGTTTTCATTCGCTTTTATTTATTGGCTTCTAATGCCATTGACTATTATCCCACGGGACGATACGGGAGAGTCGAGGCCAAGCTGCCCTTCCTATGGATCTTCTGCCTGGGCTCGAGCTCAACTTGTCGCTTATTGTGTCAATTATCATTAATTTCTAAATGCTCTCCTGTCCGCACCAAGGTTGTAGCACCTTTTTGAATGATACTGGACCGCCCTGAGCCAGTACGTGTCCTGGCCATGTTGAAATGTCACCTCCGGCCATATAAATTGTTATTGCCTGTGCGTTCTATCACCAGGACACCGTGTCCCGACATACTTAAAGTTTCCCAAACTTTGCCATCTGTATTTATGCTTTGACTCTTGATAATTTATTGTCCATTCAATATTAAGTTTCGCTCGTTTACCAGAAGTTATGTTTCAGTTAAGGGTTAACTTTAGTTTAAAATCGAACAATTGAAAGCACGCTTTAGCTGTGTAATTATTGTGTAAATGAACCCCCAACTGCTGGCCATAAATAATAGACAACAACAATATTATGCCACCGCAAAAACCCCAGGCTCATTAATCTTTCACTTAATAGTCCCGAATAATTAAGCACAACAATTGCACGGGCCCCTGTCGGCCAATTAAAAGCCAATTTAAAGAGATAACAATTTATGAAAATCCGCAATTGAAAAGAAAAACCATTTTCTAAGCGGAAACAAGGCCCCGAGCGAATGTGTGTGCCGAGCATCACAAGTTATGGCCCACAAATCTGTGTCTCTGATAAAAGTTCATGCCCCTGCAGACACGACCGCAGCTTTAATTTATAACAAACATTCTTTTGGGTGGAGTGCTGGCTTTTCTAACGAATCTTTGACACTTGCACTGCGCTGGCTGTTATCCAACCCCCCTCCCCCACCGAAATAGAAAAAGAAAGTTTTCTTCAAAACAAAAACCACTCGACATGTCCGGCCACAAGAATGCTTGTCGCTGGTTAGCCGCAATGCAAATAAAGATAAAATGCAAAGTGGGCAAAAACTGGCCAAATGCAGCAGGACCACGAAGGATGCTTGATAACCACAATAGCAGCTACAGCAAGCAAACAGATCGCTGGTACTTTTACGCCATTTTCAAATTGATGTTGCTCGATTTCTTGGGTCCCACTAACCTAACCCGGAATCCCCCTCTGGTTTTCTGGTTTACGGCTTTACGACGAGAGTTGCCCGCTTTTGGCCAGAAACTTTTGCCTGCACTTTATGATTTTTGCTCAAAACTTTTGTCAGCTCGGCTTTCTGTTTGTTTGTCGCCCTTTCTTTATTGAAGGCAGGACCAGATGCCTTATGTCTGCTGTTCCCACCATATTGATGTTTATTATACTCGTAACGTAGCAGTATATTCAAAAATAAAAAGGAACAAAACAAAATAATAAGAAGGTAACAAAAGTTTGTGTCATTTCATCTGACATTTTTTCAATTGCGTGAAAAGTTTCAACAAGTGCCAGCAGCAGCGGCTAAAATCAATATTTTCTTTATTGATGTGTAAAAATGTATCCTTATCGAATATAAAATAAATTGAAATTTTGATGATCTAGAAATATGGTATTTTTAATATAGTGGTGAGAATATGTAGACTCTATTTTCTTTTTGTGTGGGACTTCTTAGTGCGAGTTTGGAGTACCAAAAAAATTTTAAGAGTCAGTAATACAGTTTATTCTAATTTCATATTTCTGCAGAAAAAACATCCTTTATGTTGTATTTATAAGCTATGGTCGTAGAAAAGAGCGCTCAATTAAATGACTGTGGTGATAAGCAATTGTCCTAAAAGCAGAAACATTAAAAATCCAAGTCCAAATGTAATGTTAGCACCTTGCCCGTGAATGTCCGGCACGAATGTTGTAGGTCCGGCCATTCTCGTGTGAAATCGGGGCACTCAACGTATCCTGTGCACAGTTACAACTTCCGGCCAAACACACAAATGAGCTACAAAATACATTTCCACCCACAATAATAACAACATGCCCGCAATGAGAAGGGAACTAAGACAACAATAGAATGGTTGACTGGTCTCCATGTCCTTTTCAGTCTAAGCAAATGAGGCCATTTTGCTGGGATAAGCCTGTGAAAGCGGAGGGAAACCAGAATGGGAGGTTTGGTCGGAAGGAAAACCATTGTCCAGTCTAAAAAGTTTCAATAAGGAAATATGGGCAAATAAAATAAATGAAAAGTGTCTAAAAAATGTTACTTTAATAAGCTCAAGAATGGAAAGACAAAAAGTAAAGTGTTTTTAAGCGAATGTGTGTATTAGGGTGTGTCAAGGGTTTTTGGCTTTGACAGTTTTGTGAGAGTTTGAACAACAAGTAGCCATTTTCCGTACTTTCTTTGCTCGTTGCTAAGCTGAAAATATTTTCATTATAAACTTTGCGACAGGTTTTCCCCTCTAAATGTATGTGTGTGTGTGTGGGTGACTGTGTGTCGGTGAACGGAAACGGAAATGCGCCATTAACTGGCAAGTCAAGCTTATTAGCTGCAATAAAAAATAATAAGCTGCAAAGTTATGTTGCAATTGTGGCATATTTTTTTCTACCCAACAGACAGTCTATTGCGGTGCCCTTCACACATATAGAAACCGTATACTTGAGTTTTCTTGTGTTCGAAATTCTTTGCTACTTACTGACTTGGCTTTTTGCACTTTTCTTTCTCCGCCGAAGGAGAACTTTTCTCCACATTGTGCTTCTGTCTGCGGGTGATTGTGTGACAGCCAAGGACAACATGCCAAAGGGGACAGCCTTTCTTTCAGTCCGCCAGCACAGAGAGCAAATTCAAGTTAATTTTATTTTAAAAATCGTGCTACAATATGTCCCCGGTCTTTGTGGAAAGTGACCCAGGCTTCCTTTCGGGCTCTAACTTGATAGTTGACTCCTACTCGACACCCAGATGAGTGCGATTATGAGAACGGGAATGGGAATGGGAAAAGGAATGGCACTGAGCCCGAGAAAGCGAGAATGTGTGGACAAGACACTGAGAACTTGACAAATTGACAATGTGCCAGGCGTTGATAGGGGCAGCTTAAAGAGTCCATTGAAAGTTGATAGTGAGAAAATGGCACAGAGCCCGTAGACGAATGAAAATTATTAATTGCTTGCCTTAAAGAAGTACAAAGTTTTTATTATGAAAAATTAAGTTTAGTTGTGAATTCTTTGCCTCATCTGAATTTGATACTCATTCATTAATGTATATCATGGATATATTTGATTAGATTAAAATTAATTATTTGATTTTATTGGGCCTTTCCAAATCTATATCAAAATTGAACTTCATTGTAATCAGTTTATTTATTTTAAAAATAAAAATTGATTTTATTTACATATATAGGTATATTTAGCATACCTACCCACAAAATATGATAGTGAATTGACAATGAAAATATATCTTATTAATAGTTGTATAATTTCGATAATTAGCTTACTCTTTAGCTATTAGATTAAATGGTTAAACTAGTACACTATATATAAATTCATTTACTTATTTCCAATTACATTTTCTTCATTGAGCTTATTGTGTCACATTGTCTCCACATTTTAGCTTAATTTCCTATTGATTTCCTCTCCCGAAGTTATTTTAATAATCATCCAATCAAAACTTATTGTTAGCCATTATAAATATAATAATAATAATCATTGCTGTGGCTGCCGTTGCCATTAAAAGTTTTGAAATTTAAACACCTGTCACTCGTTTCAGCGTTCAATGGCCCGGCCTGGGATTAATAACAAAACAATTTATGCAACTTTTTCGACAGGAGTGTGGGCGAAAACAAGAGCCAGGGAGCGATGGCACGTGCTGAGAAGGGTGGAGAGGTAAATAATTTCAATAATGTCCTGCTAATATCAGGCGCAATAACAATAACAACCGCAGGGTGGAAGGTAAATGAGGAAGAAGGCGGGAAACAGTGACCCTGCGGTCAAAATATTTATACACCCTCGCGAATAGAGGGAGAGAGAGTCTTCGAAGGCGGGTATATGTCTGCACCTTTCAATCATGGTTTATGGCCCAGCATTACCGTTAGACAGCAGTCGAAAGTAAAGTTTTCGTTACCCTAATGGAGCCCGAAGTTAAATAAGTTTGGTGGCGATAAACGGAGCTGCGGGGAAGCTGAGGTTTCCTAACGTATTAAAAAAGTTTCAGCTGCCAGTTGAACTCCGACAACAGGTTGTACAACATTTTTAGCCACAGTCGCTTCCACCAAAAAAATAAAAAGACATTTTTATGTATTTTGTTTTAGGTTTCCCGGGAAATTCACCTCTCGACCATGGAATTAAGTCAGAATCTGAGACTGCTGCGATTCCGGTTCTAAGTAAATGATGTTGAAAAACTTTACTTTTATCTGTTGATACAAAGTAGATGGTTTCCTAGTGGCCTTCTCAGTGATTCTTAGTTGGCTTTTTTCTTTGCGGTTCTTCCACATCTTATTTTGGTCAAAGGTTTTCGCCTTCGTGCTCTTGGCTAACTGCCTTCAGCTTTCTGATGAACGGAAAGTGTTTTTCATGTTCGTCTCATTTGTACATAATGTGAGAATGGTAATACAAAAATTTCATACTTTTCTTCTTACCCGCACACCATTGCATTTTGTGTATTGTGACCGAAAATAATACTTTCATTTATTTTTATTTGCTTTCTTCTAAAATGATTATTTTCACCCAATATGTTCACTTTATATTGTCTATAATGATAATTTTTGTTTTGTTAGAACTCCGGTTACTAAATATAGAGATAGATATTAAGAGATGTGTGTTTCGAGCTTGAAAATGTTTTTGAAAAAGCTAACTAAAATGTCATATTTTAAAATTTTGTATTGTTCAACTGAGCTCAGTTGTAGACAAATGATCCTAATGCACCTTACCTCGCTTGAGCGATTAGGAATTTGAAAAGTACTTATTTTTTATTAGTATAAAAACTTTTTCACATATTGTTAAAATGTATTTTTTACGTTATTCAATGTTGATTACGGGTTGTATTCTCGGAAAGATTGGATGCATTTTCGGAAGAGTGTTTCGGACTTGCTGAATATTTTCAAATCGGGGTATTATTACGTCAACCGGATATAGGTTATAAGAAGTCGCATCTGCGGAAAGAATTTTAAACATGTTTACAATTTATTTGTTGAATTTAAAATTATACTTACTTAATTCTGTGTTGCACAATAACTCATCATTAAAAATGAACATATGTGGCACAGGCAGCATCTCGGAGACTTCATCGAAACGGAAATATATCTGAGCACGCTTTCCTAATTTAATATTTTTTGCGGCTTCTTTGTTATTGGGGTACAGTTCCATGGGAATGATCTGCATGAAAGGATTGGAAATGAGTGGGCATCACTTGGATACTGGGCTCCCACTTACCATAGCAGAGCCTTGCCACGCGAACATCACACTAAAATTCAATTTGATATTCGCTGGTTCTTTAGCAGTGAACACCCCTATATAAGACTCATTTTCCTCTATGCCATACGTAAAATATTCGGGGCAATTGTGTTGAGGAAAAATTAGGGCCACTGTGGTGCCAAGAAAAAAACCAACGAAAATAAAATTACTGATCGACATTCCAGTGCGAGATGCTTGACGAGAACTGAGAATCTGAAGCTATCAGCCGATGGTTTATATAAAATTGATAGGAAGCGAGAGGCAACTGATGTATATATATATAAGGTTATCAGCAACTTTACTGGTGCTTGCGTGGTTTTGGGTATTTTTTAATTAAATAAAAATTATGATTCTTCTTAGAAAATATTTATAACTCAGTTGTCATAAAAACACTAATATGATTTTATAAATAAAGTAATTTTCTATACAATAGCAGATGGAATTATAATTTCAGCCGGATTTTTGAAATGATAGTTATTTTGGAAAATCACAAGGATTATTAGTTGAATCGATGGAGCCATGTCCGTCAGTCCGTTTTGGCGCAAAGTTTTTTCTCAGTTTCGAAGCTAAATTTATGAAAAATTTCAAAAATTCTTAATTTTGTTTTTTTATTTTACAGACTACTGTATTATTGAGCTGCCATGGGAACGATCGGAAAATTAGTAGAAAAACCAATATTAATTCGTTGTTTTATATTTCGAAATAACGTAATTTTTTACATTTGCAGGTATACATATTTAAATCGTTGTTATGAAACTCGAAATAAGGTGATTTGTAAATTTTCAGATATACATATTTAATGAAATTTGTTGGTAATTAATTTTGTCCTAGTCGATTAAAAATTTTTAAATAAACTTTGTGTGTTATTCAATGTAGATTGTGGGTTGTATTTCTGGAAAGATTGGTTGCATACGGGGGAGACTGCCATGCCCCTTTACATTATTTTCTGGTGCGTCTATCTCTATTTCCACCGGTACCTCATGATAGAAATCGGAAGATTCCGCTGATGAGTGAATGCCAAATAAGTTTATAATTTATTTTCTGAATTTTAAGTTATACTCACGTATAGTTGTGTTGCAAAGTAATTCGTTATTTAAAAAAAACTTAATTGGCACAGGCATCATCTCTGTGACATTAACGAATCGGACAAACGTCTGGGCACGCAATCCCAACTTAATATTTTGTCGTACTTTAGGCAATTCGGGGTACGGCTCGATAGGCGTGACCTGTATCGAAAGATATGAAATGAGTTAGCTCGAACACGAGGATTATAAGTTTTCACTTACCTTAGCAGAGCCTTTTAAAGCGAATGTCACACTAAAATTCAATGGAGTATGTATTCCTTTCTTAGCCGTGAAAACGCCTATGGAACTACCGTCTTTTCCCATGCCATACGTAAAATATTCAGAGCAATTGTGCTGTGGAAAAACTATGGCTACTGTGGTGCCGAGAAAAAGGCTAACGCAAATCAAAGAAGAGATCGACATTCCGGCTAGATGAACCTATGTTGCCAGACGCTTAAAAACAACTGAGAACCGGTAGCAAACGTCAATGGAATGTCTATATGTATAAAAACAAAAAAGGAGACCAACTTCGGAAAGCCGAAGTTTATATACGCTTGCAATATAAAGACAAATTTTGGGAAAGTTTCAACCAGATAGCTTTAAAACTGGGGGACTAGTTTGCGTAGAAACGGACGGACAGACGGACAGACATGTCTAGATCTCACGGTGATTGTGATCAAGAATATATATACTTAATAGGGTCGGACATGTCTTCTCCACTGCGTTGCAAACTTTTTTGTGAAATTATAATACCCTCTGCAGGGTTATGAAAATAGATAAGAAGCGGGGCGCAAATGGTTTCGTATATTTGCAAGGTCATAAGCACCATTAACGAAAAACTTTTAATCTTTAAATAAATAAAAAAAAGCTGCTCTGAATTTCTAGAAAAAAATACACAATTTCGAAAATTTTTTGTCAATCAATCTTAAAATAAGGAAAAATATTTGTCGGTTTTTCTTATTCTAAAAAAATAATGTTTATTAATGTTCCAACTCATTGGATTAAAATCTATATAATTTTATAAGAAGTAAAATAAATTATCAGTATTGTGCTTATTAATAAATAAATCGTTATTATGCAGTTATTCGATTAAAAAAAGTGGAAATGAAGAATAGAATACAAGAGAATGAAAATGAAACAATTTAAACTAACTTTGCTTAGTTTAAATGAACTTCAGTCACATAAATTAAATTCACTTATTATTGGACTTAACGTGTATTTCTTTCAATACTCGCCTGGCGAAGTCATAAATCCAAATTTAAAATCAGTGCCAAGTGAATGGTTTTAACTTTTCATTGAATAAATACTGTGCAGAAACATATGCCCCAACTCCATCGTCTGTGTGTCCTTCTTCGAGTGAGCAAAGTGCACGTAGAATGCATTAAAGATAAAAGCCGCCGCAGCTCGGGAACTTCAAACTGGAAAATATGATACAAAAGGCAACAGTGGATAGCGGAGATGGGGTGAGAAAATATAGTGGGGGGTATATGCAGTGTGGCCATAATTTCCAACAGTGGTTTTTATGCTGAATGTGCATTTTACGACTTTTTAAGTGTCAGGGCAAACAAAACTTTCCATGAGAGTCCCCGGGACCACCAGGACCAGCAGGACCAGTAGGACCAAGAGCTGAACAAGAACCAGAACCAGAACCCTGCCATGCAACTGGCAGATGGTGCTTTGTGCTGCCGGCGGGACACCTTGTATGTATACAAAAGACACCAGACATATTTTCTTTCAACAAGAATAAACTTTGCTTTTCAAATATATTTTCCAACTTTCAAGCCAAGCAAAGCCAGAAAGGGGCGCATTAGGTCCAAGTTTACGAAAAACTTAATTCTATTTTTAAAGCACAAACACAACCACACACACACACCAACATACCAACACACCTACGCAATCCAGGCATGGAAAGGCAAGGCAGTTGCAGTTGCAGTTCCAGTTCCGTTTCCGCTCGTTGTTGCATGCAGGCACGGCTTCCCCTGCACTAAGTTATCGTCTTTATTGTTTGTCACATACATGACCTCACAATTGTGTTCCTGTTTCTTGGCTGCTCTGCTGAATCAGCCACCGTTGCCACTGCTATTGCTGCCTTTTGCGCTGAATGGCGATGCGAGCGGAAACGGAAATGGCATAAGTTGTTGTCGCCTACTAGTTCACACGTAAGTCCGTTCACTCAACAATAAAACGGCGTTGCTGCAGCGCTAAAGACGTTTCAAAGGCGGCACCGGCGAAGGACCTGGCCACTGAAATGGGGGGGAGGGGGGGGCAACAATGAAATCCCATAAAAGAAAATCAAGGCGAGGACTTTGCCGGGAATTCAGAGATGGCAATGTGATATACTGAGTGCCGGCGTGCGAATGGGAAAAGCCTTCCAGGATCCTTTGTGGTCGAGGCGCTTCTTTTAGTTGTCGAGTTTATTTAAGATGCTTTTAAAAGTTCCGCTATCATTTTGGTTTTTGTCAAAGTAGTGTCGCTATTAGATAGATGAATTCGAATTGCATTATGATACCTAATAAACTAAAAAGTTTTCAAGATTCATATATTAAAAGTTCGATTTTGAGTGTTTTAATTAAACTTAGTTTTTATGTATTTGTCATTTTAACTTTGACCAATATTTCGACCCAGTTTCATGTTAGTTATTTTTAAGTTTCCAAAGACTTGTAAAATGGTAACCCACAATTGGTTTGATTGTCTTCAAATCTGGGTATTGTATAATAATAGCTAATATATTAAAAAGTCTTTAGTGTAAGACATTCAGAGTTTTGTTTTTATACCATTGTCACTTAACTTTGATATATTTTTTTATGTTAGTTATTTTTTTTATAAAAAACGCTCAAAGTAAGCATTAAGTAAGTCGTTCTCAAAAAATACACATAAGTGTAAACAATACCATTATTATTCATTTAAAATTGACAGTTCGGCATCTCTATGGGCCACTTGTAAGACTGTTTTTCCTAGCAAAAATTTGCAACTTCCTCCACGTCGTATACGTAATGTGCGTTGTAAAATTAGCAAAAGCCTTTACAAGCCCCAAACGGAAGGAGCTAAAACTGGAAGGAGAATGGAAAAAATAAGCGAAAAAAGGGCAGAGGGCATTTCATAAAAACTGCTAACTTCCTAAACTGATTGTCCCCTCCCTCGATAGAGAAAGCTTCAAGTTGAATAGAAAATTGCAGCTGCAAAAGTTTTTTTTCTGTCTGTCGTTTGTTGTCACTGTATTGGATCAACCTCCAACCTCTTTAGTCCGGTCCTGATGCGAATATTTCGCCCACACTTTCTGCGTCTCCTTTCTGAAGCGTTGCACGTTTTTCTTATTCAAAAGTTATTGTGCTGCTGTCAGGAAAGTTTCCCTTTTTTTCTCCACCTTCAGAAATCGCCAGTAGCAGGCCAAAATCCAATAATGGCTCAGAGACAGAGAGAGAGCAGCAAAGCGAGTGAAAGAGGGATTTACGCACACACAGACACTGGCAATGCTTTCAAATACTAATCTACGCGCTATAATTGAAAAACTAACGGTTTTTGTAACGAGTTTTTCGTGCTTTTACTGCAAGTGTGCGCATTTTTAGTTTCTCTATCCTGGCCTTTATGCGGCATGGTGCGTGAGTGTCGCCTACTTTCTCTTCTGCACACATACAGCCACTTTTCCCAGGCCTCCCGGAAAACTAGAGCCCTGCTGGAGTTTTTCCCATAAACTGCAACAATCATTCTTTCGCCGTCGTTTTTTACCGCTCTTACAAACACGCGCCCATATTTTTGCTGACTTTTCGGTGTTTTTTCAATTTTTGAAGGGCTGGAAGAAACGGGTAGTTTTCCAACTACGACGGTACACCCTTTTTCTTTTTTGTGCTGCTTAGGGATTAATCTTCTATAGTAAAATATTATAGGCATGCTATTTTTATAAATTTAAATAAAAGGTTCACTAGCTCAGTTTTGAAAATGTTATATTTTTAATTTCGAATAATTTTTAGTTTTTTTCTCATTTCAGTTAAAAGTTTTTAATAAATGAATAAATAAAAGATTAATGAAAATAAACCGGAAATATAGATAACAAAAATTTTTATTTTTTCATCATTCCTTCCTTAAATTTTCAGCTTTCTGCCAAAGTTAGAAATAGTTTAGATCCATTTTCTTGATTACCCTAACTAATTCGAGTTAGCGACCATTTAAACCGAAACTACAAATTTTTTTTTTAGCATATTTAAGTGGTCTAAGGCGACAGTAAGGGCAAAGATGGAATGAAAAAATAACCATGAAATTGAAAAAATATGATGACACTTTTATTGCAAGTGAAACAATGGCTGCCGTGTGTGTGTTTTTGTGTGTGTACGCCTGGGTGACTATGGGTGATTTTGTGTGTGCGTGAATCCCCTTTTGGCGATTCGTAGTGTGGGATTTTGTGTGCACGCTGACTTAAAACATTTTTGCACTGCACTGTTGGCCAGTTCTCTCTCAAAACGAAAGCAAACAGAACTGAATCCGAGCAAAAAGTGAAAGATAATTTTTTGGAAATTTCGTCTGAAAACATTTTGCTGCTGTCAGGCTGATGGCAGCTTTCAATTCCTCTTTTTTATGACTTAGAAGCCATGTATGGCCAAGAGGATTTTGGCTTTTTTGTCACGATCTAAGCCGCGGTTTCGGTTCCGATTGCAGCGTGCGTTGTGACTCGCATGAATATTGGCATTCTTGGCTTTCCAATTTCGCTAAGAGTTTTTTCAGATGGATTTTTCCGCTTTTTCTGGCAACATTTTATAAGTGTACGCGAAGTGGTCATAGCTCAAATTACCTTGCCAAGTGGCGCGGTCATTAAATTAAATACCTTTTGTCTGTGCCCATTATATGAAACGACTTTGGTCCTAAACCTAAGGGTGTATTTCACGAACCCCAGTTTGGGTCGGAATTTCTGCCAAGGGTTATGGCAACGTTGACCAAAAAAGTGTGCGTTCGAAACGAAACAAAAGGTGCCCGAGGAAGAAATTCAATCAATTCGCACGTGACATGATTATTTTATGATTTTATTTATTTATGGTGTATACATTTTGTTTTATTTTATTTTATTTTTATTTTTTGCTTGTTTTCCTGGATCCGCTTTAAAAAAGTTTCTGCGGCCATAACGTGACACCTGTCAGATTGTGGTGATTAATAACGAGGTTGAATAGGTTGGGAATTCTTAACCTGCTCATTGAGTTATATTCATTTTTGTATTTTAATTTATAATATCAGTTAAAAAATGCGAACATTAGTTTTGAGAGTTCTGCCATATATCAAGATCATTTTAAGCCGAAAAAAGGAAAATACATTTTAAAGTTAAGTTATATTTATTACAAATGCTAAACAATTAATTTCAATAATTTTTAATTACTATTTGAAAATTTATAAATAGTTATATGCATTAAACTTAACTGGCATTGATTTTATATACCTATACCTTTTATAAGCAATTT